CCTACTCAACCCCCTCCCCATCATCCTATCCATCTCCTACTCTTTCCCCTCCCAATCATCCTATCCATCTCCTACTCCACCCCCACCCATCATTCCCCTCACTTCCTGCTCTGGTAGTCCCTTCATCCCACTTATCCAGCCCAGCCGTTACACCAACCTTACCCAGCATTTCATCCACTTTCTACATACGTGTACTTCGTCCCCATGATCCTTCTCCTACAGGTACCCCTCCCCAACAAACATCCCAATCTGTCACTTTGGGATCCCCCCATCCCTTATATTTTCCCCACATGCTGTACATGTACATTTGTATGTGTCTGAACACTGTCAATACATACATGTACATATATACATGTACATGTAAATTACAGGAGTGCTCAGTACATACGTGTATGTACTTCAGGGCAAGTACACAATACAACTAAAAAACTTTAACATTCAACTTTTGTAATTCTTTCATTAAATTCATAAGATTCTAAGCATTAATGCCAGATGAAACTATTTAACAAATAACATGTACATGGAAATAATGATGGTATTCCAAGAAGAAGCAAACAAGCACTCAATGGCACACCTATGGACCTGCAAGGAAAAACTTTAACATTTGAAGGCGGACGGACAGACACCCGCCGGACGGACAGACAGAAGACAGAAATCGGTATTACATACACTGTAGGCTCGCAACAACAAGCGGTCCACAGGCCTGGCCCTCAAATAGCGCTACGCTGATAATGTTGGTGAGCTCTGGCATTTGGCAGGCATTCCGAGGTCAGCTTCACATTTCTTTGTATCCATTATGGACAGGTGGACAAGGACAAGTGTCAGATCAGCGTGGAGGGAGGCTGCATCATGGAAGACCTTAACGCCAAAATACTCCCCTTGTATGGTATGGCTCTCAGCAAGTGAGTTTTAACAGGCCCCATGTGGGAATAGCTGCATATTCAAACTACTTGCTCTGGTGCAGCTGTACAGATATGTGTAAATTGACCACTAGGGTGGATTCCATTTTTTATTACTTTTTGGCTGAAATATTTCGGAGCCAACAACACTCACCATTGAAGACAAAACTATGAGGCACAGAACAGATGTGATCAACAGTGGATTTCAAGCAAATATACAAACTCAAAGCAAGTTAGGGTGTGAACTGTTCTTCTGGTGAATCGCCTATTAGTTTCATGTGCGGGCTCAATGCAGTAACGTTTGAATGGTTCTTGTTAAATTATTGTGTAAAATCTCATCACAGTGTAGTAGTCGACACCTCTTAAGAGTTAAGACCAACACGGACCTCATGTCTGGTCTCGAATGCATGTTTTTAACCACAACAAAAATGTCCCTTACACACTTAACATCAACAGATGTACGGAAGTCTAGAATGATTGATAAAGAGATTTTTTAACACTTTCCATCTTTCTGATTTTCTGTAGCCTTGCAGCCATGTCAAATATTACTGTCGCTGGAGCAATTAGCACAGGAACTCATGGTACCGGAGCCAAGCATGGTATCCTAGCAACACAGGTCAGTTCAAAGCACAACAGGTACCGGTAATTATACTCTCTTCCCCCCATAACTCTGCTTCTCCCTATGCAAAAATAAGTTGGTAACCATGAAGGCATACCTTATATCACAGGGAAGCCATTTTCATTTTGTTCCCCGAATTTATTGTATCCAATGTCATATTTACTGGTGCCAGACTATTTTGGGTTCCAAACCTCACTATAGTTTGTTTTAAATGTGGCTGAAAACAATTAGATATAATTTGTCACTAATTTTTAATTATTCTGAACAATAGCTGTCATAAATTTGCAGGAACTTTTATTTTGATGCTTTATGCTTTCGCTCAGGTTGCCAAAGTGAAAACTTGTACTCATTTTTAATAATTTAGGTATAATTTATCACAAATTTTAAATAATTGTGAACAAAATCTGGCATGAATTTGTCTGAACTTTTATTTTGATGCTTTTTACAGAGGTGGATGCTCATAGTACATCTGTAATTCTGTTACATTCATGCAGAATCTTACATCAATCAAGATGGCAAATACCATGGCTTTTTAAAATTGAATTGAATGCATTATCATTCCAAAATCCACTTTATTTTTGGGCTAACAACAAAAAAGTTGGGGGGGGTGATTCACTGGCTGATCCCCTCACTTCGAACATTAAGCGGACACGAATGTACCCTCATCCTTCCCCCAGGATTTACGCCCATGTTTTCAATTCAAGATGACCATCACATTAAAACAGTCTATCATTGTTTACACTGAAAGGGCTCTTTCGTGCACTTTCATGGCGTCCATGTAGTTTCCTATTCTACCCAAAATCTAACCCAGATCCCATCCCATCCTGACCCAGTGAATCTGACTCGGCAAAACCTATTCAAATAATCTAAACCTAAACCCAACACTAATCAACAAAAATGAACCCAACCAGCTGGAGTCAACCCAGCTGACCCCAAAACCAAGCCAATGAACCTAAACCAACAAACCCAGCCGGGCCCACCCCAAGCCAACCCGGCGACACCCAAAGACAAAGTCGACCTAGCCAACTCACTTAACCTGACCAAAATCAACCCAACAGAACCCCACCAACCTTACAGCACTCAAACCATGACAAACCACATAAAGCTAGCAAATCAATGAAGTCTATTGGTCCTGATTAGTTGACTGTCTGTAGGTTATCCAGTTGGAGCTGCTAACGGCACAGTGCGAGATCCTGCGATGTTCCCGGATGGAGAACGAGGACCTGTTCCGTGCCGCGCTGTGTAGCCTTGGATGCTTGGGCGTCATTGTCACGGTAACCATCCAGTGCGAACCAGAGTTCAAACTCCACAAGAGGCAAATGTCTTGCACTTTGGACGAGGTATTGTACATTAAAAGCTAAATTAAAGAACTGATTTAAACTGATATTTACAACCTTGCGCAGGAGAACAAACGCTGAAGTGTCCATAAGAAGTGTCCATTTCTCCTGAGCTGACATGTTTAAGACCAGCCAAACACATATTTATTCCCTTATTGTTTTGGAGGAGAGAGGCTCACTGCAGACACAGCTTCAGTTTTTTATGTTCTTTGCTGTTGTTCCAATTCTTCCTTCAAGGTCCTGGATAAACTGGACAACCACGTGGCAAGCAGCGAGTTCTTCCAAGTTACATGGTTCCCGCACACAGAGGGCGCCATAATGAGCCAGACTGACCGTACCCGGGAACCGGTCATGTCCAGCTTCAACTGGTTCCGTGACTGCTTCCTCAGTTTCTACACCCTGCAGTTCCTGTACTGGCTCAGGTGAGACACAGGGGAACAACTTGAACCTGTATTCATGTGTCGGCCATCTTGAATTGAAAGTGAGGTTACCTTTCAGTGTGGGAACCTGAGGCTGCATCCGAATCTCTTGTCTAGAGCTAGGTCTAGGTTTTCACTCCATTAGAAATGCGTGGTGATGCGTAGACAATAGACCTAGCCGTAGCTCTGGAAGCCTGTTTCGGACACGGCCTGAGTGTAAAAATAACAGCAATGAAAAAGAAGTTTATACAAATGCATGCCAGTTTATATGTAGAATAGCTTAAAATTTGTGATAAGTTGTATCTAATTGTTCTAAGCCACATTGAAACATTGAAAGTGAAGCTTGGAGCCTGAAATAGTCTGGCACCACTACATACCAGATTACATCAAATATGATAAATTCTGGGAACAACATCAAAATGGCTTCCCTGTAAATAATGTCCATTTTTAGCCCCTTTTTCGGTGAGTATACTGCTGTGAAAACTTGCCGCTTTAATTTTTTTGTTTTCACTATTTTTGTTTTCTTTTTCAGTTCCTTCCTGCCAGGGCTGATCCCATCCATTAACAGGCTGTTTTACAAGTGGTGCTTCACAGGTTGCCGTGACGACATTGCCATGAGCCACGCAAACTTTGCTATCTCGTTCCGCTTCAAGCACGATGTCACTGAGTGGGCCATTCCCAGGTCTATGGCAGTTCTCATTTCACGGCTTGTCTGAAGTTTGGTTTTTGTGAAAAGTGCAGATGTGAACTCTAAAATGTCTGATATCTTGGTGGTGTAGAGACTCCAAAATTCACGTTGTCCCATCCACTCACGAGTTGGCCTGAAATTTGCTGCACCATTTTGCAACTTTCATCCCGTTGAGCTTTCATAACGTTTCCATGGGGATTGTGGAAATGAGTATCTAAATTAAAGACAAATGGAAAAACCCCATTCATTAATGTGTTTACTCAAAGGTGAATTTCTGACAAGAGAAGGCAGTTTTCTGTTTGTCCAGTGACCAGTGGAACTGCATGGATTCAAAAAGTTTTCCAGCTAAGTGTATTCACCCTGAACGGTACCAAGGGAGGGCACAATTTCCCTATTAATGGAGGCTCCTTCATTTTGCATTTCTCAAACAACTGAAAAGCATGGGATGTGGTCGCATTGCTAACAACAAAGTGAACACTCCCCCCAAAAATGGCTCTTATTAACCAGTAAGGGGGTGAACTGCTCAAGGCGGATAACGATGGGTACTTGTAGGTCTTTCCGCTCTCTTGTATGTTTTATCACTATTGATAGCCTAACCAGTTACTTGTCCAGCATACCCAAGAAACTTTTGAAATGGCCAGGTTTTTTTTGTATTCTGTTTATTTCATAGAAAGGTTGACAAATCTGACCATGGTCAAGGTGGCCAGTGTGGCCTGAACATCAAAGTGTGAATTTGGACATCTGGTCAGGGCAGATTTGAACTATCTAATGGGGGCCACAGCTGTGAGGAGCAGGTGGGATACGTTTTTGTTGGTCATGCAAAGAGCATCGATGTTCTTCCAATTGAATTCTGCCCATTTGACTTTTGACAGAAGTCACACTGCGGCAGTGTTGCGAGAGTTGAAATCTTGGCTCGCTGCCAATAAAGGCGTCTATGTCCACATTGGGGTTGACCTGCGATTTGTCCAGGAGGATGACATCATGCTAAGCCCCGCCTACGGGAGGGAGACCTGCTTCATCAACACAGTCATGAACAGGTGAGCTCGAGTCAATTGAGGTGTTTCTTTTCAGCAGGAGAAAATAAAAACAATTTCTTTTGCCTAATTGTTCTCCATTCTGCCCTCCATGCCTTATCCCCTTCTCCTGCATCCCATAAGTCTTGCCCCCTTCAACCCTTCGATTTTGGCTAATCATGTTTTTTTACTTTATGTCCTTTTCTTTTTCTGTTCACTGTTTTAATATGTAATATCTTATCATTGTATTTGTGTTATTTACTATCAGCTGAGTAAACAACAACAAAGCAGACAAAAAAAAATGACAAGAACAGCAACATGCGGGTGTGAGAATTCAGCTTTTTAGCTGATTTCAGCTTTTTCAGTTTTATTAACCCTGAATTTCAATTTTTTTGTACACCTGGTCCGTACAATACTATTGGAACTTTTTATAATTCAGCTGTTTGCTATCCACATGTATTTTATATTTTATTTTAAGTGGCCACTCACACCACTGAACACAACAACCACAATAACCAACAACAGCAACCAACGGCAACATCACATTGTAATATTTTTTAACTTTTAATGATGGCATTTTGCGATCCCTTCCTAGGCCTTTGGGAAAATTCATCCCACATGACGAGTTCTGGTCAGCCTTTGAGAGGATCATGTGCAGTGTCGGAGGAAGGCCTCACTGGGCTAAGGTAAGGATGCATTTGTGTCCATGTGTGTACCACTCTGGGTGCTAGGGTACCAGCCATGTAAGCAGATGGCACCAGGCCAAGGAAAATAGCCACACTGACTTGAGGCTTAGGAAATAATGGAGTGGGTACAAGCAGGTACTGGTATTGATATAGAAAGGTGTCTAATGGGTAAACATGGGCGGAAGACCATACTGGGTTAAGGCTTAGGAAATTATGGAGTGGTTACAAGCAGGTACCAGTACTGGTACAGAAAGTGTCTAATGAGTAAACTGGGTGAAGGACCACAAATGGTTGAAGCATGCATTTGTGTGCAGTATGTCAGAGTACCAGCTGGTTGAACATACAGTAAACTCCGACTAAGTGGACATCGCGTAACCCGTCATATCATCCAAGTCCGCCGTTTGACAAAAGTCCCAATCGTCTGTAATGCATTTCCATTGAAAAATTCATTTCTAAGTCGGCGTTTATTAGTAATCATTTTGTATATGACGGCATGTTTTTCTCGGTCCCTTTTCCACAAAACCACAAAAATTCCTTTGTGTAAGTCAGCATTTTAAAAGTCATGCTTCTGTATCAGTTTCCTTCACCGCGGTTGCCAAGAAGTGTCAAGTGACAGGTCCAGTATGTGCGCGGCCAGCATGAGTACATCAATACATGCACCAGTAACCCCTCTAGTGCTACGTGCATGCGCTCTGTCCATTTTGGGGGTCGCCTTATTGAACGTAGTCTGGTTCCCTGCCCAAAGACTCCCAGACGACCCTTGATAAAGATTTATTGAGGTAGTCAGAATCATAGGGTCTGGTATCCAGACTATAATATGGAACGAACTTAACCAATGCGTGTGTGTACATGTGGATGTTTTCTGTACAGTAACTGTATCACGTACATGTACTGTACATGTACATACATACTACACTGTCGAGTGGTGATGAGATATGCCAGTGGCTTGCTTTGTCCTTAGGGGCACATGATCACTTATTGAATTTGCAGGATAGTAATTGAGAACAAATTTGCTGAAATCGACCATGGAGGTAGAAATAAACCATGGTAAATTAAAGCCATTGAATTAGTACAACGAATCATAATTTACACAGGCAATACATGTGTACGTGTAAGTTGGCAAAATGATGACTTGCAACACAAGCTGGCATTTGCGTAAGTCGTTATAATTTCTTGAGTTCCAAGAGTGCCGACTTAGCCGGAGTTTACTGTACATACATGTAAATCGTGCTGGGCCGACTTCAAACTGGTTACTGCTGCGTTGGCTGAAGATGTGACAGAAGTAAAATGAAAACACAATAGATGAATTTCACATTAGCGCCGTCTGCGCATATTCGCATCGAAACCAAGGTTCTCTGAGTTGAACTTCGTCGTGCGTGCCCGCAGAGTCGACACAGTACATGCAGTATGCGGTTCGTAAGTGTGACACCACTTCAGTTTAAACCACGTCCACTGCACAAGATACACGGCCATAGCAGGTACGTTAGTTTGCGGTAAATTGCCATTGTTTTTTCTTTGGATTTCACGTGTTGGGTCATTGTGAAAGACTCTTCAATAAAAATTTGCAGCTTGAAAAGTCTGAATTTAACATACCTTTACGTATTTTGTGTCTTAACTCCTTATTTTCAATCGTCTGATCGTATTAAGAATTGAAGCTGATACATACAGCCTCATTTTCAAACGTGGAAGTGTGCAGATCGACACTAAAAGCGTCGTATTGGGATCCCTCTATAAGGCCCTCATTCTCAATTGCATCAGCATATCTCCCTCTTGTCTACAACACACCCCCTTCATCACAGACCCACGAGCTGACTGGATCAGAGCTCAAGGTCGCCTACCCAGAGTTTGAGGCATTCTGTGAGATCCGCCAACGCCTGGATCCACAGGGGATGTTCTTGAATGACTACATGGAGAGGATCCTTCCCCTGGTCAAAGGCCCGGTATCACCCTGGTGACCCTATCGATCACCTTGACAGCATAAGATGCACCACTGTTGCAAACTGAAATAACTTTCCCTTGTTTTTGAATAGTGCCATTGCTATTTTGGCCCAAGGCCACCACAGTGCATTATCGTAATGCACAAAAATTGTTTATCCGCCTTTGAATGTCGTAAATGATTTCTTGCGCTGTCCTTCAGTAAACTAGATAGGGTAAGCAGCGTGTACACAAGATCATTGTGGTCCAAGAAATATTGTATATTTTACCTAAATGTCAGAATTTTAGTCTACTTCAGTTTAGTTAATTTTAATGTCAAATGCATATCAAGTTTTAATATTCTGTGAAAATTTTATATAGAAGACAAGAAATTATGCATTTGTTTATAAAAAGAAAAATAAATGTGCCAAATGTTCCTGGATCGTGTAATAGCCTCATGTCATATTTGCATGAGAACAGGTGAAGTATTATTCATGTAAAGTGCATGCTTATCATTGTGGTAAATGTCAGTTTCGTTCAATTTCCACCATCATGCAGTATTTTTGCTCAACATGTGCTGCAGTATTAAACCTCAGGAAACCAGTCAAACACCTCTTTGAAGATTCCCCTGTAGAACTGTCGGACTTTCCTGCAAAAAAACTTCCTTCCCTCCTGACTATTACCTTTGAGTCAAGTCAGGGGTCCCTAGTAAAAGCATGTTGTGAACAGCACACACACAACTAGACATAACTAATTTGTGACCTGTCATGACAAAATGAGAGTTAAGTCGCATCCCACTTTTTCCTATTTTGAGGGTTGGATGTCATATTGAAGTGAAGGTCAATTTTTGGGTTTTGCAATATTCGGAAAGAGTGAACCGTCTCCTTTTTAATTCCAAATATTTTGCAAAATCACATTATTTAGAAATGTCATTTTCTCAGCAATTACAACAAAAGTATAGTATTCATGCCTGACCTGAAATGTTGAAACAATGTCAGGAACAAAGACGCAAATTGCCAGAATACTGTCACATTGTCACCTTGTACTATTACCCTAAGTGTTATGTACACACAATTGGAAAGCTCTCTTTCTGCTGAATTCCAAAATATCATTATCTCAGTTTCTGAAAAATCTGACTTTCAGCTTATTTTGTGGTGACAGAAGGTCACATTTATTCTTTTATTACATGCAACATTCATGTATAGAGTTAATTTAAATAGCGGGTTTTGCCCTTACCCAACGTATATATTGATAAACACTGTATGCTCAGTGCTTGTTCGAGAGCTTGCCAAAAAAATCACAAGCTTACTCGGGTGGGACTCAAACCCACAACCTTCCACTAACTGGTGCACTAGTGAGCAGAAGGTCGTTGATCGAGAATCGTGGGTTCGAGTCCCACTCGTATATCAATATGCACGTTGGGTAAGGGCAAAACCCATTATTTAGATTAACATCTCCCCAACGCAAAAATACATCTGGAAAACATTTTTAGAGTTATTAGTGAGATGAGAGTACTATCTCATATTTTTATATTTTATTCCATATGCCATGTTTAAGAAAGGTGTTAACCTTCACACTAGCGTCAGTATTTGTCATTTTTGCAAACTACGTTTTTATTCCCAGTTGTTAAACATTGAAGAGCAAAGTGGGTAGTGGGGTTTCCAGTGACTCAAGAACCCCTGGAGTCAGGGCAGGTCTGTGGTGGAGAATATCACCCAGAGGTGATATCTAGCTGAATTGAAACCAAAAGGTGTTTGATATACATCTGACGGGGGGGGGCCAAACAAGCAACATCCCATGGTGCAGTTTTGCCGCATTAACTAATTGCACCAGTCACAGTTAAAAGAGCTGCTCAGAAACAGTTTCCTGAACAAAATAGCTCTCCCCATACAAAACAACCTCCATTAATGACTCATAATGTCCACTCCAATTGATTAAATATCCTCACCGTGCCCTTTTTGGGCGGGTTGCCTGTGTTGCCCCCCCCCCTGCCAATCCATATTTGGGTTTGGCCATTTCCAGCACGTGGGGGAAAATGTGTGCATGTTGTGCGAGTAGTGCTGTACATTTACGGATGAAACGAAACCAACTGCAACTACCTCAGAAAACCTGAAAAACGGGTATTACTCTTATCCGTAATCCACGCCTGAATTGCCAAACCTATAATTATTGGGTTCAGTAGATCAATTGGTTGGTTTTAAATGCACGAACAAGTTTTTCGTCGACTGACAATATGCCTTTATTGCACGCGGCCTAGCCTAAATTGTCATTCGCAGCATCCTGAAATCGTGGTATCCAGTTAGTTTTGCAAAACAATCCCCCCCCCAAAAAAAATTCCAACCTTCCTTTTTCATCATTGTACAATAAGTAGTATCATTTACAAGGACTGACGGATGGGAGCCACGTATTTTATCATTTTCTTATAGATTTTAACTAAGACCTGGGCTATATACATGTACGCCCTGCTGTAGTCGCGCTAAATTCAAATAATTTGATTTTTTTTAACTTCTGCACAACGATATAGTATGGCAATTGGCGCCAAATTGGCTCTGCTCATCACGAAGGTAGGAGGGCTAATACAGGCTTGGACAGGTCCCCGTCCCTGTTACACAGGGGCCAGTAGCTAACTACGGTTTAAAATGTGCGGTTAGCCCTGTCAGTTTGGATGCTGAATTTTTAAGTTCTGTCAGGCCAGTAGCAATGCTTTAATATGAAATACATTTCAGCTCAGAGACGAATAAAACACAATTATCTTTGCTAAGCCTCCTTTGATCACAGTGTGGTTATCTATTTATCGGTAATTATCACCGATACATCATTTTACGGCAATTTATTTCAGATCAGTGGTTGTGTTAAGTTTTAGATAAATGAACAGTTTATGGTAAAGTTATTGTCAGTAACGCAAAAGAAAAGGCAAAATATGCTACCACCTCCTGCTTGATTTGTGCACATTTCCTCATTTACATACACCCAGCAGGATAGAAATTCATATATAATTATGCACGCATGCGCACAAATGGCCTTGGCGTGTGAGAGGGCGGTTGAAAAGGTACAGGGGGTGCGACTTTGAAGACTATTTTCTTTTCTTTTCATTTTTTCTTTGAGACAGATTCTGCTAGGATCAAAGCGTCGGGCCATATTTTGTATTCTCTGGCTTTGTTCAGTTGTTTCTAGAGACTACCCCATCCACTCCAATCGTTTTTGCTGTTGGTATCAAATCATGGAGGAAGGAGATCTGAGCGGGAGTTTTAGTGCTCTGTAAAAAGACCTCATAATCGTGAGTTTTCCTGTGCTGACGAGATTGTCGTATCTAAGCCGCCCACCTTTCGTGCTGTTTTATAATCAAGATGCTTATTCCTTCAGGGTACCATCCACCCCAATATCATGTACACATAGGCTCTGCCTTTTCCAACACCACTTATTTGCCAGCTTCACTGCTTTCTGCTGCACTTAGCAAATCTGAAGAACCAGATCCCTCTCTCTTTGGAATCTGCATTTTGTCTTGTACAACCCCAAACACAATAACTGGAGACCATTTCTTTCGGTATTACTTTATGTGAGTTACCAGTTTCAATGGTAAACTGCAGTACATGCACTGTACATTGAACATCAGTACGTGTATACCACATGCACAGGTTGGTTCCAAGAACACTACGATGGGAGGGGGCCATACTAAGACACGGCGATCTGGTACGCACAATAAAAAAGTACGATTATAAGGGTTTCTGCAGAGCACTAAAAACCTTGCTTAGATTAGAGACCAGCAAAAACGATTAAATGGGATTTTATGAAGAAAAAAATTGAACGCCAGAAAAGCTGAGAGAAAATGATCATGATTAGGGCCTAAGTCGCACCCCCTGAACGACTTATTTGTTTTAATGACTTATCACGTTTTTACAGCATAGTAATCACGTTTAAATGGCATAGTTGTCTCATTTAAACGACATAGTTATCTCGTTTAAGCGACATTAGTATCTCGTTTAAACGACATGAATTTAGATATCTCGTTTAGTAAACGACATAAATGTGTCGTTTAAACGAGATAACATATTTTTCGCATTTGCAGCAATACATTCCCGTACATTCCAGACTAAATTCGTTGCAGGTACTCAGTGTGCTCTGCGTTAAATTCTCATAAACGTGGGCGTATGCAGTGAATGCGTAAAGGGTTATCAATTTCTTTTGTTCCTGCTCGTCGCGGATAAATAAGTTTGGTTATTTTATTTCACATGTGGGAGACTTTGAGACGCTTGGTGGCGGCAAACATGATACTGGTCCTTGTTCTGAAAGTATGCATGCTTAGTTCTGAATACGTGCAATACTAAACTACATGGGTTTGCTGTAGCACTATGAATACATCGGTCTTTCTTTACGCATGTCAGGGTGCACCACTAGAAATAAATTCCCATAGACAGCAGTGATAAATCCCCATACTTCACAAATATTTTAAAAATAAAATTCTCACAGGTGTTCAGGCTGCACAGAAAAATGATGTTCCACATGTCCTCTTTCATTTTCCTTTCAATTTTCGGGGGGTTGACCAGTGAATTTTTGAGAAATTTTCACCAGAAACAGGCCACCCCTAAACTGCAGAAAATGTCCCTGTCCAGAAAAGCAACCATTTTAAAGAACCATCCCTCTGCAAAATGGCTCAAATAGTGCCACTTTCAAACCCAATTGCATCCAAATTGCTCAGAATTGGAAGCCTGAGTCCGGCCCAGGGATTCAGTCTCATATTTCTTCAATTCTCCAGTTCCATGGCTCTCAGGACCCTCTAATATAGAATATTTTGAGTGTATAACTTTTATTAATGAGCTCGGCGGATATCCTAGCCTAAATACGAGGGTGCACCCGTCAGGTTTTGAAAAGAACCGGTGGTACTCAGCGTTTCGGACAGTGCTCTGTCTGTCGTCAGGAGACGGCAGAGGGTCCAGTAATGAAGCAGCTTACATGGTGTTGAGAGGGCAGTGAGGTGTGGAGAGGATTCTAACTCTGGATCTAACTGGTGGTTACCGCGCCAGTTGGATCCATGGTGCTGCTATGGTGCTACCGCACAATACTATTAAAAACAAAATAATAATAAAGACATGTCTGCTGCCACCGGCGTCTCAAAGTCTTCCATTGCGCATCTTTGCACAAATCTTGGAATTGTGGAGGAACAACCATCATGGCGTCAGAAAGCACGGTATCAATCGAAAGCAAATTAATTGGGTCCCGCCCCTGGGCTAAGTGCCACTGTGTACCAGGAGCGGCAAGGATGAACAAGAATATTGCGTAAGCTGGGAGGCGTGATATCGCCGCTGTGCCTGTCTCCACCTCTCTAGCTACATCGGATACGTAATTATTTTGCTGATTTATTAATTTATTTGTTATCTGTTTTTAATTTATGCTAAAGTTCAGTGCTGTTCAGCTGTTCAGTGTCGGGTTTGCGTGCGTTGATCGCTGATAAACTGAAGAAGAGTAGTTGCCGATAATTGCGTTTAAAGTTCGTATGTACACAGTGTGTTTGATATTGGACAAGTAGCCCTGCAACCTGTGCTCACGTCTTCCATAAAGGTCACCAGAGCTGGGTGACTTGTCGATAAATTAAGATTTCAGAGACACAGACTGAGTTCACCCTTTTTCAAGCAATGGACGAATCTTAATGCATTGAATGCTTTTAGGACAGTGCATTTTACCATTTTGAAAATGGTTTCTAAGTGTCTGTAAAATAGCATGGGGCCTGTGTAAAGTGCAAAGATGTCAGTAAACAGTCGTAAGAATTTAGGCCTTTATTCCAAAAGTTTTATGAAATGATTCTAAACTGGACCATTCCATTTCAGTGGGAGATAGGAGGTCTTTTTGATTGAGTGATTTTTCCACCACTAATGTCAAATACATCGGGGTGATTTTTTTGAAGGTCGTGCCTTGAAGGGGGCGTATCTCATTTCTTATCACCTCAGCGGGTAACGGTGCGGTACCAACACGCCGCCAGCCGACACACTTGACTTTTCCTAGAGGTTCTGTGCGCAACTTTTTTGTTATTCTCCGTGCTAGAGGCTTTCAACCACCAGTGAGAAAAACATGTTGCAACGTTAAGAGACTGGCAGTCACTTGCTGACGGCATCGCTCAACTTTCGGAAACCTCCTCACAACGCCAAAATAGTCGGTTCGGAGAGCGGGTCGGATGAATAAGCCCGTTGCTGCCGACTGGGCATTCTTGATCGAGTTTTGTCGCAGACCGTGAATCGGATCGATCAGTTCAACGCAGTGAGGCAAGAAATAGAACGCACTGGTCGCACACCAGAACTTCTCTACAGATTAGTCGTTGGCGACCGACTTAGTCGCCAAGATGACTAGGATGAAGCTTGACAAGCTGTTAGGGCTGGTAGTGCTGCTGACGCTGCTGGCTTACAGTGAGTATATTTTTTCAAAAACTCACTTCCACTCAAACTCGCATTTACTTCCACAGCAAAGTGAGAAAAACAAGCATGGAATTGTACAGAGAAGTAAATTAATGAGTTGATAAACAATGAAAAGGTTGTAAATGACTAACATAGGCCTATAAATAGGCTTGGCTTGTGGCTTGCAATGGACATGGACCGACCAACACAAAAACAAGAACGCAAGGACAATGTGAACGAGACCGTGAGAGCATAAGCTGCTGGTTTAGTTCAACCCCCCCCCCGGATTTCCTGGATCACTCACCCCCCCCCCTTGGGAATTTCTGGATCCGCCCCTTTGGTCCTTGGGCCAATTGGGCCCAGTGTCAGCTATTACAGACCCCACATTTGGTCTGGATAGTCCTCGGTAGCCTTCCATTGTGTGGTGATGATGCTAAGCCGTGCACTGCAAAACCTCTGCTGTTAGTAACAGCCCTTTGGGTTTTTTTTTAGCAGAGGACCACAATGCATTGGATGGTGTCAAAAGTAACACCGATATTTTGGAATAACACCAATACTTTCACAACGGAGAAAACAGTTGGAGTGGTCCTTTGATAACGCTGGGTTTTGCAGTGAAGGCTCGCTGCTTTGTTTTGGGGGAGGGGGAGTGGGGGTTGACAAAATACTGTGCTATGCTAGTTTATACTGAAGCGCATTGCTGCCGCGCCAACGCGAAAAAGTATTTTTTTAATGAATTATTGTCTTGTTTAAACGACGGAGCTTTCTCATTTAAACGGCTTGGTATCCCTTTTAATTAAACGACTTAGTATCTCGTTTAAACGAGATAACAAAAACTAGGCACTAATTCGTTTAAACGGGATAACGAGATAACTTAAGTCCTTAAAATGGATAACCCTGTCGTTTAAACCGAGATGAAATAATTGCAGCAATACGCTTCCGTAGATTTATTGTTACTTCTCTGAGAAATGCTTTTCGCTTTTGCACGTCTTAAAATCTGAAACTTTTGCAATATCAAAATTTTATTGCAAAATGATACAAAAATTACATACATTTAATGTATAATAACGATTCAGAAAGATATACAATATAGATAAGCATCTATGGATAATAAAAAATACTCCAAGTGTGACTTAACCGGTAAAGCAGCACATTTTTAAAAACAAAAATCACCAATACGGGCATATAGTGTGCCTCTAAAAGTTTGCCCAACGCATTGACCAATCACAGTGCGCGAAATCTGTCGGCCTGTACGCGTTTGGAAGGGTCGACATATTTCGAGCCTTGTGATTAGCCAACGCGTCGCAAACTCTTGGAGGTGTACTGTGACTCACCCGTATTGAGTTAAGTGGTGTCGTTAAGTATGCGGATAGCTGTGGAAAAAACTCACTGGTGTGCGGTTATTAGAGCCCAAATTTTTAAAACGATATCGGCTATTGACTGCATGGGCTGGAAGAGGTCGCGTGCCGTATGAAACTTGTCCTCCACTATATACACTGAGGTCTCTTCTTGACACGAAAATGAAGCAAATCATCAAGTGCTGGAAGTTGACATCCAGTGATCTTATACTTGCAAAATGAACGACGATTCGGCCGAGACGCTTCCTGATCGTGTCATCAACAGCACTGCCCCACTAGACAATGGTTGACTGTGTCAAGACACCCCTCAATCACTCCCTGGTAGAACTAAAGTAACAGTGGCAATACAATCCGTATTAAAACCCCACAATCGGCTGAAATACTAAAGTTAATTATTTCACTCTTTCAACTTCTGGGCCATTTTGTAATAAAGGAAACAGTGTTTGATGGGGTCTTGCAAAAGTCTACATCACTTCCTTTGTCTTGTTAACATTAAATTCTAAATTATTCTTACAGCAACAGTTAACGTTTGATTGCACTTCATTTCGGTATAATGTCTTGTCACATGTAATTGATCCACCAACAGTCGTGTAAGTAGCATATCTGACAATAAACTTATCACCAAAAGAAGAAACACAATCATACACATGTACGTAAACAACAACGGACAAAGTACAACAATAGACAAAATTAATAACAATCTTTAGGCGTATATAAGTGTTGATGGACGAATGTTTGGAGTGATTATTACCATTTCTGATAATCTTGGAACGGTCTAAAAAGTCTACAATCCATTTATAGATACAGAAATTTTTATCCAACGAAATTAATTTATCATAGTCAATTGAGAGAATCGAAAATTTCTTAGAATAGCCAAAAACATCCTACTCTACCTTTCCAAGGCCCTTTTTAACGTTGGCCTGGACAGGTTTACATGGTTTGTGGTGAGATATGGTGTGTTTTGCAGGACGCAATATTTTTCATAACCCTCCAAATATTTCGTAGTCCCTGTACTTTTTTAATAATAAACAATCAACATGAAGAATCTAACGTCAGAAAGGAGGGTCTTTTAGAGGGGGTTATAATGAAAGGATTTTTTTCCATTTCGTTTCTACTCTTCCAAAAGAGCTTCATTTGTGTAAACAAATTCTAATTTCTAACCCTATATTTTAATTTAAGGATTGATTAAGTAATTATTCAGTTTTGTGCGCTTTTGTGTTCCTAGATCCCACCCCAAACATAAAGGATCTAAAGAAAGAAGGGTCTTTTAGAGGGGGAGATAATGAAAGGAAGTTTTTCCATTTCGTTTCTCCTCTTACAAAAGCGCTTCAAAGACCCACAATGTAGCATCACTTTTCAAAAAAGCCATAAACGTTTACGGGGAAAACAAATTGTTTTGTGCAGTCAAAAAGAAACGTTTGCTCTACCTTCCAAAAAAATATGGCTCTGTATTTGCCTTTTCATGGACGTCTATGTTTCAAAGTCATGTTTTGATAAAATGGTCATGTTATGTTTAACATTGCAGTAAATCCAAAAGTCGGCATAAGTGGGTTTTTTCCCGACACAATGTGCCAATTTTGTTTCATCGATAAAAGAAACCTCTTCAAAGGACGGGTCAGGGGTGGATCGAATTTTTCAGGAGAGGGGAGGGGTCTGACCGGAGATTTGTTAATGTCTCATTTTTGTGAATAAGCAGAAATGATCACGAAACATTATACATGGCATACTTTGCGTACAATGGTATTGGTGAATTTATATTTATTCCCTATCCCCTCTTTTTTTCCGGGGGAGGCTCTCCGAGCAGGGGGGGCTCGACCCCTATACCCGGTACCCCCCCCCCATCCGTGCCTGCTGTGTACACCGTTTCAAAAAAGGCGTTGTCCTTTTCAATTCCTAAAGCAATGCAACATTTCCCTTGGGGAAACTTCCCAATTGCATCTCCCTTGTTAATTAATCCTTCAAATTACAGGCCCATCAGATCTGAAGGCGTAAAGAGCAGCAAATGCTCACAGCGGCTTGTAGGAACTTTCATAGCGCTCCCCTTTACAGAATGGTAGGCACGTGCTTCTCCGCGGAAGTCTTGTGCACCCCCTGTTCCCTAATTAAAAGCATTGAAATGTACAAAGCCTGTGCACCGACCACAGTTATTTTCCTGTGCCCCCTCACCCCACCCCTAAGTCTCCCCTTATACATAAGGCGCAAGAGTTCACGGTATTTATACTTCTGCACTACCTCCATCGGACAGAGAAGAGTTGGTTTTGCGCATGAGCCTAGTTCTTTCTTCTATTCTCCTCTGTTTTGGTGCGGTTGACCGGACAGGCCAAAATTCCCGAACGCTACCCCAACCAACTCACCCAACTGTGACGGAAAGAGAGATGGTCAACATTGAAGAGTTTTGAGGACAGATACCACGAAAGACCCATGACCACTGCGCGTGAAATTGTGTCACGCGTGTCTTGGATGGAGTCAACCAGGAAAGGAAAAAACAAGTTTATGAAAAGGTTATGCCACACAAATTCCGAAATAAAATATTTCTGTTTGAAGCTCTCGACTTTGGTCATTAATTTTCCATTCGAGTGGGCGGGTAGGTCCCGTTCCAGGCGATCGGTACCAGTTTACATACATCTGAAGATAAGGCCCTCGTTAGTGTGATCTCAAGTGGGTGGGTGAGCTTCGTTCTGTGTGTACTTGGAACTGCTGGGCGACCCTGTGGACCGCGCTAATTACCTTAAAGACAAATCGGGCAAGCGGCTTTTGATAAGATAAGGCAAACGCCGTGTGAGCACCGAAAGGACTTCAACATCACGGCAAATTTCTCATCGAGTGCAGGCCCGAAACTTTCTGTCACTTTGATTTTTTTTTGGACAGGTTAGCTATGGCGGAGAACCATCGGTACTTTAATCTGTCATTCATTTCGATGTTCGCCGTCAAAAGCAACAAGCAAGTCTTTTCGTATATAAAATGGCAAGATAAATGAAAATAGCAATTATTCTTTTGTTTTAATAATGATCCTGGCAAACACGTGTTGCTTGGGTGGTAGCCCATTTCTATTAAAACAAGAAACCGAAACAGTCAGAAGCATTGTGACAACGGAATAACGGATTAGACATTGTGAACTCGAAACAGTGGTGTAAATGTGGGTCCGTGGGGAAGGGAATGGGGGTTGGGATGATAGGCCTAAATCAAAAACTTGCCTGGCCATGGAAATTAAAAAAGCGGGTGGGGGGTGACATCATTATAACAACCTTAAGGATCTTATGTAATTTTGGCTTTCATTTTTCGTTTTAGTGCTAATGAATACATTCTGGCTTGAGGAAATAGAAAGTTAGATGAATTTCCGAAAGTCTGGCGTCTTATTATTATTATTATTTTTATCTCCACGAACATGTTGGGATACGTTTCAACACCTCATGCCCCTGTGAAAAGTGTACAGGCGTGTCATACATAGTGTGGACCTCTGCACAAAAGAAGTCCACATAATGCAGAGTTCGGTGACTTTGTGTGGACTCGCACACGTCCACACAATGTTTTCCCCTCTCTGAACAACAGTTTTGGGGTCAAGGTTATCCGTGGCAAAACGAAAAGGAACAGTCCAGGAAATCATCATCAAAACTCAAGCTCGAAGGAGTTATCATAGTTGGAGAAAAAGGAGCATTCACCTTAACGACAGCAGAGCAAAGGAATGTCCACACTTCGTATGTAAAACAAGTGTGGGTGCGCCGGGGGGGGTTCATTATCGCCACACACTACTGATTTCCGCCTCTGACTCGAAGTGCCGATTATTTAACACACTCGAGCCTGAAAAAGAAATCCACAAAAGTTCGAAAAAAATGGGGGGGGGGGTTGTTAACTTCTTTAAAAATGAAGTTGTCCCGTTTTCCAAACGCAGTTGCAAAGAAAGCAAAAGAACAGATGACGGGTGTTTTTTTCTCGATGCTCTGGGGGAGCTGGTTAGCGTAGTGCTTCTTCAAGTTCCTCGCTTTGCACCAATGAGGCCCGGGTTTGGGTCTTGGCTTGGTCAAGGCTTTAAGTGCATGTGATTGCCAGTCCATACTCGCTCTCGCAGGTTTTCTCCGGGTACTCCGGTTTCCTCCTGCCTCTAAAACTGGACCTCCTTCCTAACTTCTTAGGTTGGTGTGATGTTCAAGTTCCTGATGGAGACTTTGCCTACATGATTCAGACTCACTCGGAGCCGACACACGTGTTCTATTTCGCCTGTGTCAGTTTTAGCCTTTTCGTCGGCTAGGGTTTCTGCATCGAAACTGCTCGTTGACTGAAAATCTTGGAACGGAATAAAAATACGTTAATCTTTAGCTTACTTTTATGCTGTTCAGTACTTCAAAAGCAAAACACAACTTTCACTGGGGTAAAACAAAAGTAAAAGGACGCTACGGCGAAGCAGAGAAGCCAATCTCCGATCAAACATTGTGTTCGAAATGAGAACGCTTGGTGGCGCTTTACTACTACAAGGGACAATATGAGACAAACTGTGAGTGTGAGTCCGAGTGACGCGGGAAACTTGTGCAAATTCAAGAACTGTGAATGTGCAGTGTGAAAGCCTCGCAAGGTTGGTACCTAATCCTGGCGTAAAGTCACCCGCCTTCTTACAAAATTGTTTGCCTAACAAAGACGATATGCATTGCACTACAGAGTCTCCGGCAATGGTTTTGTTACGGTGTAATTTACACAGACCATGCATGATGCACAGAGGTAAACTTCTTGAAGGTCTTGTGCATGTTCCGACGGTGCTACTTCTCCAGAAATAAAGTAACGTGTAGGCCCTATTTACTAGTAATTTGCATGATTAACTCAGGCACATACATGTACACAAAACACCTTACGGGAAGAGTTCAATAAACGGACAACACTTGATGCCCCCTGTGTACAGACCTGTGTCAAGACTTGTCTGGAAAAAAAAAAGTGTATTCTAACTTACATGTATCTCAGTACATGTAGGCTAAATGCTTAAGAATTTTCTGTGCTTAATTTCACTTTTTGGGACATTACCACTTTCTGACGGCTGTTATAACATCTTAATGGAAAATTAGTGTCGTCTGTAGGCCTATAAGTCTTTCCAACCTTACAGATCTTGAACTTAAGGAGCTCATCAGTGCAATCTTGAATGTTTCATAAATTCCTTGTACTTGTAGGCCTACTCCTGCCAAACTTGATTTGCCTTTGAATGAAATCCATTCATAGGAGGGAGTACAATGAATTTGCACATACGTGAACAGCTTACATGTAACTCGAGTTGAGACTAGTAGAGCTGTGGATGCTGAGATACAATGGCTGACAATCAGTAGGCCCATCAAAACTGTCACATGTGACACCAAATTAAAGCATTTGCATACTGTTAATTGAAGGACTGGAAATCATACTCTATGGAGTCTTCCGAAGTAGTATTAATTACAAAAAGCAATTCCTTGCCACTGTTTGTCAAGGTGTTCATTCAAAGTGAGACCGCCCTTCCCTTTTGGTCTACAGTTTTATAAGCATGATAAGGCTTATGATAACAAAGGCCATACGTGCCAGAATAAATTAGTTGCGTGTACTCAGTGTGCTCCGAGTCAAATGCTTAAGTACATGTACTTGCGCGCCTCATGGCGCACCCTCTTTTGTTCATGCGGTGAGTAAAAAAAAAACCGAGCCCTCTTTTGTTCCGCTTGGAGTGGATAGTGCTGGATATTTCTCACTAGGCTGTGCCTGCAGTTTTTAATTTAGGTTTTACATGTAGGCCATGATTGGGGTGACTACATGTAAATTGCTTTTTCCAAGTTGACATTACGGCATGTAATAGCGGATCCAGAACTGAGTTTTTTAATGGCCAAAGTTTGCAAGGGCCAAAAATTTAGAATTTTTCATGTAATTTTTTATTGGCCTTTCTGAGGGGTAAGGCTACATTGTACCTTGCAGTGCTTTTTACATGCATGTGCATTTAAGGAGAAGTAAACCAGAAATTGTCTTTTTCTCCATTTTTACCAAAAACTGTTGGCTCTTTTTGGAGTCGGTCATTTTTGTGTGCCGACTGTTCCTTTTCTTTTATCTAATCCCAACACAATTTTCACGATACTCACTGCTTGTCCGAGTGCCTTTTCTCCTAAAGTTTTTTTCCAGCCAAAGTTGGGCCTCCCCGGCCGTGTCAACAAAGCTGGGCTCACCCCAGTTTGGGCAGTGACAGTCACAGCTTGGGTGTAGCATGATCACCGTCCTAGGCTGTGCTTCCCTGATAATTTATGATCAGTCAGTATCCTTGTCCTCAACCTGCAGCTTCGTCACAGAACACATTCAACTGTGCCTTTGAGAGCGGCTTCTGTGGGTGGGCACAGGCTACGGATGACGATGGCGACTTCGACAGAAACCAGGGGTCCACTCCCACGTGGAACACCGGGCCATCCTCGGATCACACCACAGGGAGTAAGTTATCTTCAAGGGTTAAGGAATGCATTTTTTTTACTACATTGAAAATGTAGATGTCCCTTTGACTTATAATGACCCTCATTTTTAACTTTTGCCTTTTTGTTTTAAAAGATGTATTTCTGTGATGTTTTGGTTTTGATGCTGAAGTAAATTTCCATCACTCTCCTGAGTAAACTGTATGTTATTCCAGGGAGAAATCTCAATGTTTTATTGATTTGGTTGCAACAGAACTGCTCGAACTTTAGATATTTTACAGTTTTAAATTTCCTTTTTCTGTACTGGTTCATTGTCGGAGCAAAAGGCAATAAAGCCAAATGTTTTTTCTTTTGTAGAAGTGTTTCTAGCGGCCATATTTTGGGTTAACCAATCGAACAGAGATTCAGAGAAATAAGTGAGCATTGTCTTTCCCAGATTTACAAAGTGCCCCCTGAGCGTTCTTAAAAGGGATTGTAGTGTTTGTCCCAGGGCTGTGCTGAATATCTGAATATTCGATTGATTATCAAATATTTGAATATTGTTTTCCAAATTTAAATGTATTCCAGTACAAAATTCATGAAAAGAAGGGAGAATTTTCTTTGTTTGAAGTGAGAAAAATTGCACTATGGAGACTTGTTTCAAGCAGATTCAAATGAAAGCAACAGAAATCTTGCAATGAAATTAAAAAGTAAAATATTCATTAATAAAAAACTGAAAAGGAATTGAAATTTTCAACAGGGCAAGAAGTATTGTTTGTCACTAAAATCTTGATAAATTGTGGCTGGAGATACTCCTAAATGTAGTGTACAAATGTGTGCATTAATGCAACTGAATTTTTATGTTTTGTTCAACAATCTCCCAGGTGGTACAGCCAAATATTGGGATATTCCATCGAAATTGAAGGTCGTGTATTTGAATATTGAATTATTCAAATTGACTCATCCCTAGCTTGTCCCTCGTAAGACACTAGCTAAAATGCATGACACCCAGCCAATGTTAACCCTAACCCTCCTCAATCCTTCACCTGTTGGAGGATTGAGGAGGGTTAATCGAGGATTTGTGCTGCATTCACTGGATTTATTAAGAGAAAAAACCATCAGTAGAATTGAGCCACATTTCTCACTGCTTTCATTTTTGTGAGGAGTGTCCATTGCACTTCCTCCCTGGGCGATGCATGCGATGATTTATTTTCCCCTTTTTACCCACTCTGTCTTTGCAATCGACAGCCGGCTATTATGCCTACATGGAGGGCACAGGCAAAGGTTGGAACAACAAGCTGCGACTGGTCAGCCCAGATGTGACGGTCGTGCCCAGCAGCGGCGTCAAATGCGTGCGATTCTGGTATCACATCTACGGAGTTCTCTCAGGTGAGGAATTTGCTCCATTCGTCCCTGGACTCCAAACCCAAGCCCACAGACATTGCTGGAGCAAACCAGATCTAGGATTGTCGCTTTGCCATGAAAAAACTTAGGCAATGCCTGGCCCTACAACCTGTACTAACCTTCTTCTTGTTAACCCTGCACTACCTTGAAGTTAAGGGTGGGACGTTTACACGTTTCAATGAAAAAAGTCCCAAATCTGTTTACACATTTCCCAAACGTATAAACAGAATCACCCCTTTGAGAGGTTTGTTGTTTAAATTGACACAATCTGGCGTTCATCTTTATTGTATTGTAACGATGACTGTAAGTGTCCCGAAAGTTGCTCATTCTCAGCCCATAAAAGCTGGACCTTGTAGGTATAATCAGAAGAAAGTAGAATACATCAATTTCTTCTCAACTCATTAAAAGAGGTTTAGTTTTTCTTTGAATATAAGCACCAGTCCCAGGTCCATCCCCTGTCACCGAGGAAAGTTCCCCGGGGGCCCAATTGGGCCAAGAACCCTAGGGACGCAAAATATTTTCCAAAATAAAAATCAGTGAGAAAAAGTGATTTTTTTGCTCAATTTTGTTTTTCTCTCTTCCAAAAGCCAACAAAAGCATCCCAAATGTAGCGTCACCCCCCAGAAAGGCCATGAAAGGTTTACATGAAAACAAATTCCAAATTTTTTGTCCTCAACCAAGTTCCCCCTCCCCCCCAAAAATATTAAGGTTCTGGATCTGGCCCATTACCCAGTGCCAAGCCTCTCCAGCTGTCCAAGCAAACATACTCTATAGAAGGCCACAAAGTCGTAGCTTTGCCCCCTCAAAAACCTCTTCCTTTATTTGTCTTGGGCCAGGTTCACTGTACGTGTACACATCCAGTGACGGTACGGCCGGTAACCTGGGCTCGGCCATCTTCCAGCGGATCGGCAGCCAGGGGGACCAGTGGCTCGAGGCGGGACTGGATGTCACATCCTCGGTGTCGCCCTTCAAGGTGGTTTTTGAGGCTCAGCGGGGTCTCCTGGATACCAGCGATATCGCCCTGGATGACGTGGAGCTGCTGGACGGCTACTGCTCACAGGGTAAGGTTGCTAGACAGGGCATGGTCAAGTGATGTTGTTGGGTTGTTGAGCAAACCACTTATTTCATTGCTTCCCGAGGAGTGAAGGAACATGGTCATGCTGTTAACCCTAGCAAAGTCAGGTTACTTTTTACCATCTCACAGCCGGGGAGGGGGTATTCCGTCTCCCTCCCTTCAAGTTTCGAAACACCATATGTACATGAGACACTCGTAGTACAGATATGAGGTTTCAACTCTAACATTATGGTTGCGTTGTTACTGTCACACGAAGTTGAAGTCCACACGCTTGTCAGTCCACATGCAGTGAGCATGGCAATGGAAAAGCATACATTTTTGGCTGATCTGTCTTGGGAAAAATTGGCACTGTGCCAGCAGGGTACATTGTACATGTACATTCACTTGTTTTTAAAAGGACATCAAAATGACCGCAAAAAGTTACTGAAAAATAATCTTAAAGGCTCAGCTCATGCTAAAAATGCACTGCAGTGATATTGGAAAAAAGTCCAGGGGCCAGGGTTAATTTTGTGTTGGAAACCCTATAATTAATTGTATGTATTCCATTTGAGTCAACCAACCACATGTACTTGGCTGCGACTGAGGAAAAACTGTTTTTGTGCTGCCGACCCTGTCTTGAATTTTCTACCCAGAAAAAAAGAGAAAACTAGATTATCTTACAGATTTCTGTAGACAAGCAATAATTTGTGGCTGGCTTTAGAATAAAGGGTAATAAGTCACCCGACTCAGGTTATAAATAAGTTTTTGATATGGCTGGATTCTGTACATCAAAACCTACAATTTGATATTTGAATGACTACCGTAGTGTGCTGCATGGCGGAGATATTCATGTATAGGCATTTGTACATGAACATTTTCGAATTCAATAAAAGCACATTTTGAAAAAAGCTCCTTTAGTGTAACCCTTGGAAACACAGTGCCATATAGGATTTCCTACTGACTGATCAATTTTTCATCTTATCTTTCATCAGCATCCCTGTTTGTGCTGGTAGTCACAAATTCTGCAAAAAATAAATTTTATAGAAGCTTTTAAATGAAAAAACACTATCACATTTTTGAAGACATTTTTCCGTCTCCAAATAGAACAGGCCATTATGTGTTTGGCATTTTGCAACTTACTACCTTTTTTGTGGAGCAGGTCACATTTTTTCTTACCCTAACCCCCTTGTTTACCCTGACCAACCCACCCTCTCTAATGGGCAAAATGGTCTGATGGTCATGGTTTCAAGCCTTCAATCCACTCCAACTGACTCTCAAAATGTTTAATCTGCATCTGTGGTTACATCCCCTCCCAATATGATAACGTGGTCCACCTGATAATGCCGTCTTGCCGTTAATTCACAATGCAGAGCTATTAACCAACATAAGACCCACCCACTACGCCTGGCATGTTGCTTGAAATGTGCCTAAGTTCCAACTGGGAAACCTCAGTGGGCTGGCTAAAGAAAATTACATTTCGAAAGAGACAGTGGGAAATTCGGGATACTAAGGGAAATTCCTAAGCTACCAGGAGGCAAGTTTAGTTGTGATTGAAGAAACAGGGCCCAGGCATGCAATTTTTGTTGAATCAACAGATTTCCTCATTTTTGTACTTCACACACATGCTGTTGAAACTTGGAAAAAACATCCATACAAAGTCTTGTAAAGGATGGAATTCCCTCTTTTTTGTGAAAGTTAAAGTTCTGGGAAATTCCATTTTAATCTGTCTTAATCTTTGCTGAAGAAAGAGCAAAAAATGCACTTCGATTTCCTTTTTTGTGGTATCCCCGTGCAGTGGTCATAACACCCACCTCTAGCACCATTCCCTCCTTAAGGGAGTGTGACTTCGAAGACCCTTCCATCTGTGGTTTCACACAGGACACCAACGACAACTTCAACTGGCAGAGGAAGAACGGGCAGGCCTCATCTGGCACGACGGGGCCCAAGACAGATCACACAACCGAAACAACTGCAGGTAGGTCCTACTCCCCCCAATCTCAACCCTGAACACTACCCCCAATACCCCCATATTCCCATCCAACCCCTTCCCTATCCCCACCCTCCAACCATACCCCATCCCAACCCTAAGTCTACCTCCTGCATTCCTACCCCAACCATTACTCTNCCCTCCCCCACCCATTCCCCTGCCCCCCCCCCCCTCCCCCCTACCCTATCCCCGCCTCCTTCCCCCGCCAATCCTTCCTCATTCCACTCTTCACCCTACCTGTCATAATCCCACCTAAGACACACTCTGTATCAAATATGAGGCATAGGCTTAACAGCTCGTTAAATTGACACACAGCTGTGTTATAGTTCAAATGTGACATGGTTTGAGGGTGGATTGTCGAGTTTAGCTCCCCAGGCTATTGGAAGTTGAAAACCTATTTTCTGGGGTGAAGAGGAGTTAGTAGAAACTATCCACCCAAAATGAGCCATGTCACACTTGTTTAACCATACCTAAGACCTATTCAGCGGCCATTAAAATTTCCATAAGCAAGGGAAAGGCAGTGTAACCACCATCATTTCATGTGTTGTGTACATATGTAACTTCACTTTTTCAACTAGGCAACAGTTCTACTATACCCCTCCCAGGCAATAGTTAATAGTATGCTTGCTTATTTTATTGGTAGATGCTTTGCACCTGGTTAGCAGCAATAAATAGGTACATGCACGTGACAATGAATGGACCCTTGAGAATTAAGCCGTCAATCATGAATATATATCACATATGGTGGCATCCCTCTGTGCATGATTGCTGTGGTTTTTGTGCTACAGGCTACTACATGTACATCGACTCCCAGAGCCGACAGGTGGGCGACCTGGCCCGTCTCTCCTCCCCGTTCTTCCCATCCACCAACGGCGAGTGCCTGGAAATCTACTTCTACATGTATGGTGCCAACGTGGGCACACTCAACATCTACCTGGTGGAGAAGGGTGGCGACCCCACCAAGCAGATCCCTGACTGGACTCGGACTGGCAACCAGGACGACCGCTGGCTGATGGCCCGCATGGCGGCCTTCACCACGCTAGACTACCAGGTGGTGCTCGAGGCCACAGTTGGGGGCACCTCGCTGGCGGTCATCGCCATCGACGACCTACGCATCGTGAGCGGAAGCTGTCAGATGCACGGTCAGAATCATCTCTCTATTTTTTTGTTTCTTCAAACTTATATCAAACGTGACCAGACATAGGGAAACAAAATGTAATTAAGTGGGATAGATGTGAAAGCTGGAAGAAGACAGGTGACAGCTATTTGAATCAAATTTAGTTTGTTCTGTTGAAACGATTGTGCATTCCCGGAGAAATTGACCAAAATGTCCTTGAATGAAAAAACCCTGAGATGCGTGTCGTACCAAAGTATTGTTTATGCCACAGCCTCTAACATGGCATACTTTTCACCTCTAGTGCTGTGCTGGGACACTTTTGCCTCCAATTTCACAGTAAGTGAAAGATTATCAGAGAAAAAATGTAACTTTCAATGGGGAGAACCTGACTGAAAGCAGTTTGTGTCAGATTAGTTCTCTCAAGAGACTCCTAAGGGGAAAAAACATGAAAAGTCTCTGGGGATGTTCCCCAAAAGTTTTAATAAATTTAGGATTAATTTTTAAATTAGGATTATCTCTGAATTTTCGTAGATGAGTAATGCTTTGACATGTTCTTCTTTTTCTTGTGACATATCTGTCGTCATCTGGTCTTTACGTTCTCAGGCGACTGCAGCTTTGAGTCAAACAGCTTGTGCGGTTGGATCCAGGACACCATTGATCAAATTGATTGGCTGTTGAAAACTGGGGCCAAAGGGAGCGGGCCAAAGAGCGATCACACAATGGAAGACAACACTGGTGAGATACTTCCGATTGCTCCTTTTTTTTGAAAACCAGACAGGGGCTTCTATGGTCATGAAAAATCCCGAGGGGAAATGCCTCGGAAATTGTGGAAAGAGTTGTGTCAAAGTGGAGATAAAATAGGGTGTTGTGGATTCCTGTTGTGAGAGGACAAAGGCCGTGGACGAGTCAATGTGTGCAGGCCTAGGCCTGTGCTGCCTCTGATAGCCACAGCAATAAAACTCCGGCCTCAGGCTGGAGAGAGACCTCAGAAAGACCCTGGGGGTCCGCCTCACTATTGTTCCCACCCCCGGGTCCTACATGTATTTGTCCTCGCTCACCCCTCCCCCCCACAATGGAAATCAAGATAATGCGAGGATTTTTTTTGATGGGCTGCTTTGTATGTGATAATGTAACAGTGATGAATGTACAGGCTGGCCTTGTCAGTCTGTAGTGTTGCAGCTTTTGCGCTTCATATAATACCATATAACAATCTCTGTCTGCAAAATGGTGTTAAATATCATGGAAAGTTGTTAACTTTCAGCTCTGGAAAATCCAGGAAAAGTCACAAAATTTGGTTTTCGGATTTCAGTGGGAACCCTGCAGGCTGGAAAATGCTTCACTTGATTTGTGTACTTTCCACAACTTTTATTGTCCATGTTAAAAGTTTCCTGCAGGAAAGGGTTTTACAGTGGTTCTCTTTGAAGTGTGAACAATTAACAGCAACGGAGGGGGGGTCGTCATCCATTGGAATATTAATTTTTTCAGGCTGGTTTTGGAATGTTGGCTCACATTTTGTCTTCCTTTTTTGGGCATACTTTTTGATCCACCCAGGCTGGTACATCTACCTGGATGCCGCCAGTGCTCAGATCGGCAATGAGGCCTACCTTTCATGGTTTGAGAACGGCGTGGCGGACCCAACCACCGTCCGCTGCCTGACTTTCTGGTACTACATGAGTGGGGCCAACACCGGCACACTGGCAATCAAGCGCGAGGATGTTACCACCGACGTGAAATGGGAGCTGTCTGGAGAACAAGGCTCCAGCTGGAACTTTGGCCAGATCACCATTCAGCAGTCATTTTCTTTAATCGTAAGCTGAATCGAGTGGTTTCTGATTAACCCTAATAATCCCAAATCCACAAATTTTACACCCACCCTGGGAGGTAAGGGTTAAAGTGGGAGGCATGATATCCCAGGATTATCAAGTTTCATCTGTTATGTCTTGCGGTGTTATGGACCAAAAACTACAAGCCTGCATACTCACAATCACTTAGGAGTGAATGCAGGGATGTCCTGGTAGCTGCTACCTGCTTTGACACGATTTTTGTCCCAGGGGACCGTAACTTTTTCAGTTGGGTAAATTTCTGGGGGGAGGGGGTGGCAAAGTGCTTATTAGCTAAAGAGTTAAACAATTTGCAACTGAATTGAGTCGGTTTTGAGTTTGGTTTTAAGCAACTTTGTGAATTTCATCTCCTTTCAGCTCGCAGTTTTAATATCTATCTGTTTTTTCCTTATTTTTTCTTTTATTTTTTCTTATTTTTTTTTTTTTTTAATTTGTTTTACCGGGGAGGGGTGGCTAATGGAACCCTCCTTGCTACCCCCTTGATGAGATGCCCTTGCTACTCCCTGGGTTACTGCTCAAAGTTCTGATGTTTATAATCATTCTTGGGTTTCACATGGCTTATTATCCAGTGTTGTCACCCTTGTGTTAATGGATAGCTGTGTATGTATGTTAAGGCTACAGCTTAGAGTAACATGCAGGCTTAGGGAAAGCCATTGGCTTGTGGCTACAGCCAGGTCCAATTCGCTCTCAGGAAGAGAGAGAGTCAAAGGGGAGTGAAGTGACTCCTCAAAGGAGATCAACCGATGGCCGGCTGCTTGATTTGAACCCCTGCCCCTCTAGTAAAACAAGTCACAACCCCCCCCACACACACACAAGTGTGTATTTGCCTGCAACTAGGGACCCCGTAGTGTTCCTCTTTTGTTTGTACATGTACTCTAACTTTTTTAGAAGACCACCCATATGTTTTGTACACAGTTGTCAATCGGGGACCCTCTGTCAATCGGGGACCTTATTGTCCTCTATTGTTCAGGGTCCCCAATTGAATGCAGAAACTCACATACACACCTCTCCCACTTAAAATCCCCACACTCCCTCATTCCAGTGGATTCATTGCTGAGCTGAAGTTGAATTTTTTTTCCTTTTGTAATTTCAGATCATCATTGCCGGTAAAGTCACCTCAACTCTAAGCTCTGGCAACGACATTGCTGTGGATGACATTATCCTCACCGATAACTTCTGTCCAAGTAAGTAGCTTTTTTCCTTAGAGTACTACCAACAGTCTTTGTTCATGACCTGGTTGTTCAGGTTGTCCTCAAAAGGTCAAGATGTCCTCAGAGGTAGGTTTTTGGAAGTCCTCAGTAGTTCTCATCCTCACAGGCCAGTTGTATGTTTCCTTCTTCAGCTTTTAGGTTGGCTTTTTCAGGGCTGTACAGCTAGCTTTTGTCATGGAAACGAGACGTCTCATATTACTCGTTGATCTTATGTGATCAACTTGGCCGTAGTCTTTTTCAAGCTGTGAGATTTGTTGATTTTCGCTGTTCCTGTAAAAATCCTAACATTCTTGCACCCGGGGGTTTATGTTGCACTCCATACATTGTACGTGTAGTGTCTCCATGCGAGACTACAGCATTTGCAAGTGTTGAACACCTGCTACGGCTCTGTGCCACTGCCAATCAAAATTCGAGTCTATGGCGTCGGGACTGGAACATACTGCCTCGACCATCCTGTCACAGCATGCAATTCCGTACCCTACATATTAACCACTTCCTGCCGGGGCAGTTATCAATGTTGATAATGCTGGGGTGGGATATTTATCATTTTTTTTCTGTTTTCAAAATTCTTCTTTAATTTTCATTTACTGGATACTTACAAAAACGTGAAGGACTGTCTGGTGTCCACTCTAGCCTGACAGACAAAATCCATTGAGTATGAGTATTTCAGCCAGGCCTGCAGCCTTGTAAACAGAGCCCAGATTGTGCGGTGTTATATAGCTTTCTTTTATTCACAAACCTGGCTCAACCTGCCGCTGACCCCTTTTCAATAGGGGCCAGATTTAAAGATTAGCATGTAGCGGTGCTGTGTGGTTCATCGATGCGGTGATGGAGCGCTTTTGTCCCCAGTGGTAATCCGCTCGCTCTCAATGCCCCAAACTGTGGTATACTGTTTCAAAACAAGGCTGGATTACCTCCACTTTTGAGAGTGAAAAATGTCGGTAATTCCCAGCAGCTTGGTCTTTTGTTCCGAGTACGGTCTTTTGTTCCAAGGCCCTGTTCCCTTTGTCCGAGTTCGGAGACCCCAGCCACGCATATAAAGCATACGTGTCCGGATCCGGAATCCCCAGCAGGGAGTGATTAACTAGATACATCAGCAGCATTGGGTGAACATACATCTGACCATGGAAAAGAAGATTAGTTTTTCAATTAAATTTTCCCTCTGTCTGTGAGAAAAACAAAAACGGAGACTTGTGCCTGTCTTTTTCCTGTAGCTATGCCCCCTGGAGCCGGGGTTGGGACCCCAGTCACTCCGTCCCCGGCCACAACCAACCCGCCGGTGGTCATCCCCCCGGGACCGGCCAACTGCGACTTTGAGGCGGGGACATTCTGCAGCTTCACCAGCGACTCCACAGCCGACTTCAATTGGGTGCTGAGGCAGGGGCCCGCCTCCACCAGTGGCCACACGGGGCCCAAGTACGACCACACCAAGCGGGATGCAAGTGAGTTTTATGCCGTTTTGCTCAGGACTACAGACCTCTGTCACGGGGCAGTTATCTTGCTTTTCCTACCAGTCAAAGCAATGTGCCGTACCTAATTGAGGCTAGAAGGAAAAGTAGTCTGTTCCCTTTTATCAATATGCACAGTTGTATTACTGTTGCCAAAGGGAACATGTCCCATCTTTAATGTTGGTAGAGAGCAACTGGTTGTCAAAAAAAAATCTAGGTAAAATATTCACAAATACTCTGACAATTTTGTTCCAAATTACAATTTACCATACAGCTGGATACTACGCCCTCGCCGACGCCTCAGGGAACCTCGACAAAAAGGCACGACTGATGAGCGGGGATGTCCCCAGCCCTGGGGGCTCGGATAATTGCCTGACCTTCTGGTACTACATGTACGGCGACCGGGTGGCCAACCTGAACGTCTACCTGCAGCAGCAGGGCTCGGGCTTGGGCAAGCCGTTCTGGATGCGCACCGCCTCGCAGGGCGAGCACTGGATCATGGCATCTGTGGAGCTGGCCAAACTCACCAACACGTACAAGGTTGGTTTAGGGCGGGCACGCGGGACGAAATGTGGTGCACGCACGGGTGTCGTTGCAGTGTCCACCTCGAGCAGAATTGCGCCTTCCTTGACAAAGAAGAGACAGCCTGGTGAGAATTTGTTTGACCGGATGCATGATCAGCCAGCCTGTACAAAGACCGAATGTTCAAACAGAAATCGATCAGTACACATGCAAAAAGTGTGACGCGTGTGTGTGAGCCCGTGCACGCATTTGAAAAGATCCCACTGAAGGCTCTCTCTCCTTTTTTTTACTTCGAAGACGCATACACCTATAGCCATATATCACAGTCCTCGGTGAGCAGTCTGGAAGGGGGGGCGGAGTTTGAGCAATATCTGGTGGGATGAATTCTGGCTCAAGACCCCCCGCAATGAATGCAGGATATGCGACCGTGGATGATGGACTTTATCCTGTTCACTGTCATCACCAGGTTCCTCGCTCGTTAAAAGGGTACCAAGTGAAACCTGCCTTGTCATATTTCTATTTATATCATAAATTAGCATATTCAGATCGTCATTGTATTTAATATCTGCGCAGGTTGTCTTTGAAGGTGTCACAGGGAAGGGTTCTGGCAGCGACATTGCCATCGATGACATCATGGTGGCCTCCAATGCCTGCCCCATCCGTAAGTAGCAAAAAATATTGGCCCTGAATGAATAATTCATGATACATGATCACAAAGCAACCGGTGAGATATTAATTAAGGAATACAAAAATCTGCAGACAATATTTATGAATGATGTAAGGAAGTAGCTAGACCCAAATTTGTCTGGGGGGAGCGGGCATGGCCACCATTCACCCCCCTTCCCCATCCCCTAGATCCACTTTTGGAATGATGCAACAAAAAAGAACGATTATAGTATCGAGAACACAAAAGCGGACACATTTTTGACTGAACAAGATTTGAAGTGAGTGGGATTTGAAAAATTTTGCAGCCACTTGAAATATTCGGCCACATGCATGTGGCCATCTTTCCTCTGATATTCTGACCAACAACCACGATGTGCTCATCCAAATTTAAAATAAAACACTGGTACACTTGCGATACTATGGTAAATGTATATATCACTATTGCCTTTAATATCTGCCAGTTTAAACTATGAACATAGGGATTCATATACCTAACAATGTACAGCTGTTTGTCACAACAGTGAAGCTGAGAGTTAGTGCGTATTTTTGACAGTCAGTAATAGCTTGCAGAAATATTACATGGACGGCATAACCAGGCTGTCAATATACAGGCAGTTACACTAGCTGTCATCAATTTCCAGTCAGTGTCTGGCATATGCAACCTGTAAAGCAGTACCAACAAAGCAGTAAGTGTAATGTTGCCAAAATATATTTACTATGTCATATAATGTACACATAATTATGCACTGGGTATATTCCATCATCTTGCAGCTACTAAAACACCAGGTGGCCACCCGCTCTCCTGCGACTTTGAGCAAGGGTTCGTGCCTTGCGGTTGGAGCCAGGAAGATTCCACTTCAGGCAACGACAACTTTGACTGGGGGCTCGGCTCTGGAAACACAGTGACCTTTGGCACCGGCCCCGCCTTTGACCACACCCTGGGAACCGGAAGCGGTGAGAAACAGTCTTGTGACCAACTTCCCAACCGCTTGCTGACAGTGTCATTTTGGTGCCGAAAATGTTAACTTTTACATTAGAAAAGATATAGCAGCCAACCTGAGTTGTTATATACAGTACAGCCAAAGATAATGCCACAGGTACTGATCTGCAAGGCTAGTCATTTGAATACTGCACATAATGATGTTTCTCACCATGACTTCCTATATCTCGTCACTGCGTGGTGCATCTATTTAGCTGTATACTACTGCCAAGCCTTGTTCACTACGACAATGAAGCAATGTGATCTGATAAGAAACATGGACCGATTCGGAGGAGCAATTACTGCAGCGTCCCTGACACTCACAAGCGCACAGCCCTAAACGTGACCCCGCTAATCCTTTTTGACACTCAAACTCTGTGTGATTGTCCTACTAACCAAAAGACATAAAAGACCATTCGAAAGCAATAAACGTCACAGGGAGTTTTGGCTGGTAAACCTGATTTATCAAGCAAGGTTTTTTATGCTGAAACAAATTTTGTGCTTAAGCAGCTCTATGAAATCAGCCATCTCTTCACAAGTGTGAGACACCACAGTAATGGCTCATGATTCTCGTCAGTGAATCAGTCTATAGAAAGGCTTGAGATCACCATATGGGCATCAGCGGATCTTGCCCCTAGTGAAAATAACGCAAGACTCGGAGCTGTCACGTGGGATCAGTGTCCTTTGTACAGAAATGGCACACCTGGCTACTCACTCCACTTAAGCACAGCTGACGATGAATAATACAAGAAATTCTAAGCTACTACGAAGTCACCCCTTCCCTGTACCCCACCTTCTTCCAGGCACCTACCTGTACATCAATGCAAGTCCCCAGAAAGATGGTGACAAGGCCTGGATAAAGACGGGGACCTACCCACCTGCGCAGGGCCATTGCCTGGAGTTCTACTACCACATGCGAGGCATACATATTGGCAGACTCAATGTCTTCCTTAAGGTAACTACTGAGCCCGGCGTGGGACTTGGAAAGTTGATCAGGCAAATGTCTCTGCTAAAAATGTGGCTCCCTCCGAAACCAGGTTTTCATGGGCATGTACCCCTCACATCGCTCAGTCAAGTGATACCTATTGTTCAGTGTGCAGGTTGGCACTTAGCGATATTTTATCCCCCAAGTGACATTTAGGGGGACAGTGGCTAATTACAGATAGGCCTCGCCAAAAACCAGAGTTGTTATTAATCATTTCTGGTAATGACACCAAGGATTCCTCAAAAGTGTCCTGGGCACTGTAGCTCACAAGATGGGCAAAGATTGTTTTGTGGGCTTATTAATCCCGAGGTCAATCTGATGTTATTGATTTTTTGCTTTTCTGCCAGGAAAATGACAAGTACTCTCACTACTACTTCACCATCAATGGGAACCTGGGCGAGATCTGGAACGTGGGTCGTTTCCCGTTTGTTGCGTATAGCGACTACCAAGTCGTCTTCGAGGCCACCGTGGGGAACGGAGACCAGGGCGACATAGCCATTGATGATGTCGAGATATTCTCGGGGACTTGTCCACCAATCGGTAACTAACGTTACTTGTTTTATAAACAATCTCTAAAATTGGCTCCAGGAAATTTTGGTTAATAAGTTCTTTCTGAAAAGGCAAAAGCTCGCAAGCTGCAAAATTTAATCATTTTTTTAAACTAGTTTTGGCAATTCCAAAATTGTGTGTTGTTTGAAAGCATGTGTACTCTTTATTTTAGTAAAGGTGAAAAACTGAATGTTTTCAATTTCATCATTCATTCTTTCTATTATTTTTTTAGATTCTACAAAGTGCAGTTGCCTACCTCTTTAAATCCAGAAGTTGTGCACCCCTAAAACCCCAACTTTGTATGCACCGTTCAGTAGCCTACAATATACATATTAAAAATGCAAAGACACTGCCATTTCAATCTCGGCAGAATTTTTGTCGCAGATAAAGAATTAAGTGTGCTGTGCACACATACATCACGAATTGTGTTGCTCTTTGAACCGAGCAGACAGCTGCAACTTTGATGATGCAAGCTCCTGCACGTGGGTGAACGACCTGACAACTGACACCTTTGACTGGATCGACGGCGCTGGGGGAACGCCCAGCTTCAACACCGGACCCTCTGTAGATCACACCTACGGCACGGCACAAGGTACAATGAAGTAATCTGTGATGTGTCGGTTTAAAGGTTTTGTAGGTGGCACCACGCCAGTCTTTTTCATGCAGTCTCTGAAAAGAACTGTTATTCTCAGCGTTTTTGGCAGAATGCTTTGTCTGCCATCAGTAGACTGCATGTACCTACAAAACGAGAATGGTGCTATCCCAAACCTTCAAATTACAGTTTCCCACATAAACAGGCCACTTCAGACTGCTGGTCAAAACGAAAGGGTCTATGATTTGTTTTTTCTGAATATTGTTTAAAGTGAGAGATATTTGTCTTACAATAAATAAAGGTTTAATTTTGGGAAAAAAATTTTTCCTTCGAGAGGAATGATATCCCCTCTTGAAATTCATAAGGAAAGAGTGATGATAAACTGCGTGCCCAAGCATGCCAAATGTTGGGTTATGATTTCAGCTAATTTGGCGAGCCAGGCACGGGCCAGTCAGTCAAGACAATATCATAAAGCAGGTGGATGGCGCCATAGTTTTGTGGGGCGAATTTGCGGTGGAAAACAGTCTTGTTGCAGTTCCACTGTCTTGTTCAATTGCCACCATTTTCCTGTTGTTTCACCCACCGCGATAGAAGGTTGCCATCAGGCGAGACAGATGATTATCTTCCAGTGTTTGTGTTCATTCCTCATTTTTGCTCGTTTTGCTACAAAAGCATGGCGGGGATTTTCACGGGGGAGCTTGCAAAGCTTCGAGGGGGAGGGGAAAATGTATGGGTAAGGGGAGACAAAACACTCGTCAGCCGCAAACTGATTTGACAGTAAATAGCAGAAGAGGGGAGGTCATTGAGAAAGTTTGGTATTGCAACAGCGCATGTCCAAAATGTGCGTGCATGTGTCTGAGGTTGTTTCTGAGGCGTGCGGAAGGTCTGCCTCATCAGTGCAGCCCCAGCGGACTTGCATGCCTGCTTTGTGCGCAAATGACCTCGCTTGAAATACCCGACTGGCCCATTCTGAGGTCATGTCGAGCTAATGGATGATTTTTGTCCCCGCTCGTGTTTCAGTTCGTCTGAGTTTTTTGCTTTCTTTTCTGTTTTGGTATTATGCGCCATTGAGATGAGACTGTGTACCAAGTGTTTACACAGTTGTTTATTTGCCTCCGACCTCCCAAGCACGAAAGCAAACAAACTGTATGATCGTTACTAAACATATCAATAAACGGTATCGTTAAAATAGGAAAATTGCGCCCTCTCTTGATCCACTCAGAGTGGCTACACCACATTGTCTACAATCTTATGCTTCCATGCACGTTTTCTATTTCTGGTCGTGATTCTGTCAAGGTTTGTACAAGTACATCGAGGCGTCCTATCCCAAGAAGAAAGGGGACTTTGCCATCTTCAAGTCCCAGGCCCTACCCTCGACGACCTCCTCAGGCCGCTGCCTGACCTTCTGGTACCACATGTACGGCAACGACATCGGCGAGCTACAGGTGATCTCGGAGAACCCCGCCGACGGACTGACCACCACCTTCTGGAAGCTGGGTGGCCAGAACCTGGGCGACTTCTGGCTGGAGGGCCAGATGCCCGTGTCCAATCCCAATCCATACAAGGTGAGGTCATTGCGTAGGGAACAATAAACACACACACACAAGCTATGGGGGTACAGCCGTCCCCTTGGGGTCCATTTTATCACAGACATCACAGCCTGAGGTACTGTGCGCACCCCACAGGGACAATTTTGCAGTGATTTTCGTTTCCAACACGCACATCCTTTCATGTGTACTGTAGACCGTTTTGCTTTCAGGAACTGAAAGTTTTCTTGATATCCCATGTTACAAAGGTTTTTAGGGAACAATGACGAAGTGAATTCATGTCGAACCTTTCATGGCATTTTTCTTTGAATTGAATGTCCACAAACTTGCTTGTGTGTTTGTGGAAGCTAAAATCTTCAGTGTGTGAATTACGCACACATATAGGCTTGTGTCAGTTCACGTTGCCAAAATTAGGCAGGAGATTTGTCAGGGCTTTTCCTGATTTTCAGAATCTGTCCAACAGTCTCTGTTGAAATCTGGAAATTCCCAAGCTCAACTTTGAGCTTGAGAACACAAGAAATGTCTATATAAATGTATACCCTAGACCCAACACACCTGTGCGGCCCACAAAACCTGTCGTGAGTATTTCATGGATATTTCATTTTCTTTCAATATCACCCCTGCCCAATGTGCAGATTTTACAACGTGCAACACCATCACTTCAGTTTTACTTTGTGAAGACAGTGACGATTTACAAAGGAAAGCTTTAATAAGGATATTCTGGTTGGTGAAAGATCACAATTCAAGACTTCTTCAGTGGCTTGTAGCTTAGAAGCCCTTCCACAGATTGTGGCATTATGTGCTAGTTTGTGACACCAAATCATCCTCTTTATTCTAAAGAGTTTCTCGATCCAAATTGATCCTTCTCTGTTGAGACAAGTTTCACCTTTTTTCTATCTTTAACAATCAGCATTAACCCTCCCATGCTGAAGTCACTCTTCGGGTCACTTGGTAAACACCTCCAAGAAGCACAGCTGTGTGGTGTTGTGCACTGCACCAACATACAAGAGAGTGACCTTGGGCACTTGTGCATATTTGTGCTGTAAAACTAAAGGAGGGTTAAGACTTAACATGGTGTATTTCTGTGACCCATCAGTTGTGTGAACATGACAAAGTAGCTTGCCCATTTTGGGGCTCCATTCACCTGTTAAACGTTGTTCTCATTGTTTGTCCTCAGATGCAATTCAAAGGCGTTATTGGAGCAAGTTACGAGGGCGATATAGCCCTGGACGACATTGAATTCAAAGATACTCTTTGCGGAGGTAAATCTCAAATAATCATAATAACAAAACAGTGGCAACACTTTTTTCCTGCATTTAGTTTAAGAAATTTACAGTTTACATCCTAAGTCTTTTTATTAATAATATCCTACATTCACAGGTTGGCCAGGTAAAGTTCAAAGCAAGGAGAACACTTCACTTTATTAAATTTGAAAGTGAAAGTGAAAACAGTGAACTAATATGCTCTTACAAATATCGGCCTGGTCTTTTGAATGATCTAAAAAATTTGGAATATAATACACTCCTTTATGTTACGAAAATTAAAAGTGTCTGGCGCCATCCCATTTGGCAGGTTACAGGTTTAATACAGGAAATGTAAATATGTTTCAGAGTGAGACTTTTTGTGCAATGTCTGTTTTCTTGTATTGCAGTTTATCCCAGTAATGCTGACACCGGAGCGACGTTGCCGACACACCCCCCTCCACCAACAACAGTCTGTGAGTGCCCGCTTAAGTGTAGATTGAAAAACCTGACCATTTTATCCGTACACGTATATGAAGACTGTTCTGTGTGTAATGGACCAGTGGCCATAAAAGAGACGTGGCCACTGGCCATGATGAAGAGGTGGAGCAATGGGCAGGTAGCCACAGTGGTCAGGTGGCCACAACGGACACTGTAGCTACAGTGGACAGGGGGGCCATAAAAGACCAATGGCCAACATGAACAGGGGGCCACAGTGGACATGTGGCCACATGGCCAGGATTTACAGCTGGCCACAAATAGATATATAGAAATGGCAACAATAGACAAGCTTTTAGAATGGACAGATGGCCACTACGGGCAGGTGGTCACAGTGGACGATTTGGCAAAAATGGATAGAGAGTCACAGTGGACAATCAGACACAATAGACATAGTGGACAGATGGATTCAGTGGGGAGATGGCCAGTTGTTGGCAAGGTGCTCATACCTACAATGGGTTCGTCAGACCACAAAGCATCTGCTCGCAACCATAATTTTGCTATAAGTGACTGCCAGTAAGAGTGAAAAGTTGGCAGCCAACGGAACCATGCAATTAGGGACAATAAGCCAATGACTGCGGTGCTATCCACTCTGAGCAGAACAGAAGAGAGCGTGTCTTCTGGCACTCACTGCATAGGCGCGCCACAAGGCTCACAAGTATATGCGCGTTTGACGCGAAGCATGCTGAGTACGCCTAACTAATTTACTCTGGCATGTATAGTCTTTGCGTGTATGCAGGACGTGTGTTGTAACCACCCGTCTCTCTTTCCGCCAATTGGGGGTGCATTTCAGCTCGGGATGGATAGGTAGCCAACTGGACAAACCAGGAGATTTGGTGACTTTCGGACGCAGATCTCTCTGTCATTACTCAAGATGTGATTTTCATTTCTTCTTACATTTGTCAGGGCCAGCTACTTACGACTGCGACTTTGAACAGGACATGTGCAGCTACACAGATGCAACCGATGACGATTTTGACTGGAGGCGGCTGAGCGGTGCCACCGGTTCCTCTCAGACTGGGCCCTCCGTTGATCACACTCTGGGAACCAGTGAGTTTACACAATAAGCCATCTGTAATTAGCTGGGACAGTTCAAATAATTGCATGCTACAAATTTCATTAACAAGAGCACTGCTAATACAACTTTCTGCCTTCAACAAGGAAGAGTTTAGGTCCTGATCTTTTGTTCTATAGGTTTGCCTTAACTTCCTTGGGTCTGTCTAAAGTCATAAAAGTACTTTCAAGACACATCACTGCAACGACATAGTTCTAAGTATTACTATGAACACACTTTTTCGTGAAGGTGCTGGATATTATATCTACATTGAGGTGTCCTTCCAGTCCTCTGGCGACAAAGCGCGGCTGGAGAGCCCCATCATCACGGCATCGACCACACCCAAGTGCCTGACGTTCTGGTACCACATGTATGGCGACCACATCAACCAGCTGAACGTGTACACCCGTGATGCGGGCAGCACCGCGTTGGGCCCCGCCAAGTGGACACGGAAAGGCACGAGGGACGACCAGTGGTACGTTGGGGACATGATGGGGACGTCGACTGCCGGCTACCAAGTAAGCCTTCGTTGCGGAGCTATCATGACGTTTCAACAAAATCAGCCTCATGGCTCAAAACATATTGCGGCAGCTTTCGTTATGTTCACCTGGTGTCATTCTGACTTGCACTCTAAGGTTATCATTCCCTCAAATTACAATATGAGCCTGTCATCGAGTTCACTTATCTCAGTTTCTGCCAAAACCCAAACTCTTAAAAATGTCTGTCACTTGAATTAAGTAATCTCCAGACTTAGAAAGATCAGATTGCTTGGAAACGGCTGCAAACATTCTTTCAGTTTTGCTCTCAAAGAAACGTGTTTCATTTCAGGCTACTAACATATTTAGAAATTGACGTCATAATATAGTTTTGAACAAGCTATGCTAGCCTCCTTAATAATTGTGGATGTGCAGTTAAATACAACACTAAACTGTAGTTAGGCTCAGATCAATGGAAACATGCACAATTTTGTTAGAATCGGGTCGACATCTGTCGCACCGTTGCAAACAGCTGTAAATCAAAAACATCTTGTCCCTGCTTTCGCCATGAACTCCATCTTCTCGTCATTATTCCCGTAAATGGAGCCTTTCGTCTTTGGATTGAGAACAAAACTTGCATTGATGCAAGTTTGTTTTTGATAGAGTGGTTTCAAGAAAAAAAAGATGCCTATTCAAATTAAGGAAGTTCACATCTCGATTAGATGAGGTTCGAATGAAAAAAGGAATTTTTTTCTCTTCTCTCTTTTTTATCCCGTAGATTATTTTTGAAGGCATTGCTGGAAACAGCTACAGAGGCGACATCGCCCTTGATGACATTACAGTCACCAACGGCCTATGTCCAGGTTAAGTAACTACCGTGTCACTTGACCTTTAAGTTGACAGGTGTTTGGTTTAGTTTGGGGTTCGCGTTAAGATTTGTAGAACTTTGGGGTTTAGGGGCTTTTGGGTTGTATTAGCGGGTTTGAGGCATTGTGGGGCCTGAGGTATTTGTTTGGAAGGTTTGGGGCATTTGGGTTGTTTTGGGCATTGGTTGTTTTGGGCATTTGGGTTTTGGAGGTTTGGAGTATGTCTCAGAGATTTTGGGCATTTGGCCTGGGTTAAGGGGAGTTTGGACATATGGGTTGTTTTGGATGTTTTGGGCATTTTGGTTGTTTTGGATGTTTGAATATTTAGGTTGGTTTTTGAGGTGTGGGGCATTTGGGTTGGTTTGGAGGCCTGGCATATGCATTTCAGAGATTTTAGGGATTAGGTTTTTTTTTTTGAGGTTTGGGGCATTTGGGTTGTTTTTGAAGGTTTTAAGCATTCGGGTTTAGGGCTTCTTGGTTTGGGGTGGAGTTGGAGTTTGGAGATTTAGGCTTTTGCATTTTGGGGTGAGGGGCCTTTTGGTTTGGGACATTTGGGTTATTGGGGTCTTGTCAAAAGACTCAGATATAAGGACTTGTGATAAACTCCAGAATACCACCGTTAGGTAGATATTCAGTTTGAATGAATTTGAGGATTAGTTTGTCTTGTATGTAACAAAACCCTGTGTATTGATCTTCAGTTGGAAAAAACAAAACTGATCTTTTTCCCTTTCTAGTGAGGGATCTCTGTGAGTTTGAGGACACCCATCTCTGTCAGTACTCCCAGGAGACTGCCAATGATGATTTTGATTGGACACAGAACAGCGGTCCCACACCGACAGCCAACACGGGACCGAAGGTGGATCACACCTATCAGACTGCTGCGGGTAAGTCTATCAGAGAGATAGAGAAAACAGGGAATTGTTCACTGCAGTGATGCACTCGAGATCCCATTGGACCAGCACAAGACCTCTTGCCTCAATTCAAGTCACAAGCTACTCAACTCGGCCATAAAAGAGGCATTCTGTCGATTGAGTGGATTGTGATCATTGTTACGCCCTCTTCACCTCACAGGCAAGTACATGTACGCCCAGGCACAGGGCCACATCAGTCAGAAGGCCCAGCTCATCTCCCCCGAGTACAAGATCCAAACTGGCATCAACACCCACTGCTTCACCTTCAACTATCACATGTTTGGCGACCAGATGGGAACGCTTAACATCAAGGTATATAATCCCCAGCCCCCCCAAAAATAATTGCCGCTGTATCCTCAAGCCTTGTGTCGAGCCTCCCAAAATCAAAGTTTTCTATTGACTTAACATCCTTCTGATGTGGAAAAGTCAAGCTGAAATTCATTGTAATTCAAGTAATTGTCCTGAAATGTATAAAAATCCAGAGGAAAGTCTGTCATTTTCAGACACTATGTGATAATGTCTCGGTGAATTGGCAAAAATGTGCACATTTCTGTACTGTGATTTGTGCTTGTCAGAGGTTTCACGTTTTTCTCAAGTTGGTTTGAAGTGGGGTCTCTCTTTCAGCAATTACAGTCTACTCAACTGTGACCTTCCATTGACCCCAGATGGAAAGGCTACACAACTTTGTCCTCACACATATATGCAACAGGCATTCAATGTCTGTCGGATCTCAACTCATGAACATCGTAGATCATGAGATCCGATAGACACTGAATGCCTCTTGCATATTTCTGTGTGGAAAGAAGTTCGTTAAATAATTTTTTAATTAAACTCACTCTGGAGTTTGATGCCTGATGACATAACCAAGACATTGTACTGGTTTGAACATCTACAGATGAGGGTTGATGTTCATGCCAAGTTAATATTTCGTGCTGTCTTTGAAAAAAAACCTGTAAAGAAATATTGTCGAGAAAAGAAACCACAAAACAACAAGGGACGTTTTATAGCAGCAGCATGCAAGCGGGTAATACCTAAATGATTTTTACAATCGAAAACGACTGGAATTACTCCTTGCTAAATCCAGTAAAAATCTGAAACACTGATTATGAAACTAGCTCCAAAAATTTCTCCTCTTATTTTCACCCGGCCAGTCCAAGACATTCAACACCGAGAAGCTTGTCTGGTCCCAGCAGGGCAACAACGGGGACCAGTGGTACGAGGACTACTTCGAGGTCAGCGAGGTCCTGGCGTTCCGGCTCATCTTCGAGGCTGTGATCGGGTCGGGACCCCGCAGCGATATCGCCATCGACGACATCAGTCACAGCATCGGAAGCTGTCCCAAGAACAGTATGTATGGCCCTCTTAACCATCTTCAACTGTGCTGGTCTCCCTCAATGTTCACCATAATCCCAAGACAAAACTGTGGTTGATGCAACCTTTCTTGATAATAGCTCAATCACTTCAAAAGTTCAACTCCGAGTACCGGCATTCCGTGTTCATGTAGAACATTCTTTGTACCAAACAGCAAAATCAAGAGAACTTGGTTTGGTTACTAATTCAGTACTGTATGGCATCAACTCGTCTCTAATACGAAGTCTTCAAAGAGTTCAGAATCGTGCTGCTAAGCTGATCTTCAAGGCCCGTAAGCGTGACCATGTCACCCATTGGCTTCCAGTGAAGCAATGCATCAAATTTAAGATCCTGACTATTGTCTTCAAGAGTATCTAAAACAAAGCTCCAGAGTACATGAACTCTCTCATCTTTCCACATCAGTCTATGCGTCGTGGTCCTTGTTCTAGTACAAGACAGTGCCCTGCTCCATGTTCCTCGGACATACACCACAGCTGGTGACAATGCTTTCCAGCTTCATAGATTCATTCATCTGTCTCCTTCTTTTGAGGTTTTTAAGAAACATCTTAAAATTCTACTTTTCGTTCAGAAATTGAATCAACCGTAATATAATTTTTTTTTTCCGTTTTGATATAAAGCACTGTGAAAAAACTTATAGTTTGTGAAGCACTATATAAATGTAATTATTGTTTTGCATTGTATTGTATTGTATCAAGAATTTTACCCTAACCTGAGAAATTTTGCTGATTTTCCATTTTAGCCATGTGTGATTTTGAGTCTGGCCAATGCGACTGGACCAACGACCAGGGCGACGACTTTGATTGGGTGACATTGAAGGGGTCCACGTACTCCTCGTATACAGGGCCTTCCATCGACCACACTCATGGCACAAAAGATGGTAAGAGAATCTGATGTCTCCCTACTGCAGGGTTCTGGTTCAGTCAATTTGCTCTCTGGTTGTATGGCAGTTTGTCAGTAGAGGAATCCCATTTATCACAGTTTAGCCTTGTGATTGGCTTGTGATAACTTTTTAGGACTTGCAATTACTACGCGAGGACTTGACTTTCACCTATGAGTACATAAAGTCGACTTCTTGCTCGATGACAAGGCTCTTTCCATTGATCATATGTATATAGCCCATGCAAAAATGTAAGGTGGGAGAAATCTTTACAGACTGCATCCCTTGTAAAGAAAAGGCTTTCTCGTTGACCCTCAGCCCTTTTTTTTTCATTTTTTGTCAGGATACTACATGTACATTGAAACCTCCAGTCCAAGAACAGAAGGCGAGAAGGCACGCCTGCGCAGTGGCATCCAGAAGCCCAATGCCACCGCTGCCACCAGCTGCTTCGACTTCTGGTACCACATGTACGGGAGCGACATCGGCCTGCTGAAGGTGTCCTACGTGACCAAGTTCAACACGCCAGCCGAGACCTTCGTACTCAAGTGGGCACTTTTCGGCCAGCAGAGCAGCGATTCCACTGACTGGCTGCACGGCCAGTTCAGCGTACCAGAGACCGAGAAGTACCAGGTGGGGGGTTCGAATTCGGTTTGCTCTGCAACGTTGTAAAATGATTCACCATGTGGGTTTGCTCATAATATTTAACAATTGTGGAAATTCCCATTAAAGTTGTACAGCATTTTGATAAGGGAAGTGCCTCGATACCTGCCTATAATTCTCTTTAGCTAGGATGTTGATTTTGTTGGGCTTTGGTTCGAATTCTGTTTGTTGCTGTGCTCATCTGTGATATTTTCGAGTCACTGCTGCTTGAATTATCACTTTTTTTGACCTGGGTTCGAATTCTATTCATCATGCTGCCTATACAGATGCTATACCAGATAGTTGCTAAGCTTGGACTATCAGTTCATCGGACCTAGGTTCGATTTCTGTTATGATACACAAGAATGTTGATGCAGCTTGTGAATATTTTTGCTGGACCTTGGTTCACCACCTTGCTTACCCATGACATGATACTGGTGGTTATAATACAGGTTGAGTATCCCTTTGTTGGTCCAAGGTTCAAATTCATTTTTTCATCCTCTTTGCAGCAGTGAAATGGCAGAGGTGGTGAGATGGGATGATGGTTCTTCGTACCTTGGTTCAAGTCTTGCCAGCCATTCAACCTTCTTGCAACATAGAGCTTCACTTTTCAACAAATTACACATTACTAAAACTTTACACAGAGCTTTTTTTCTGTTGCAGATTTTGATTGAAGGTGTTGTGGGTGGGAGTTACCAAGGAGACATTGCCATCGACGACTTGCTGTTTGCAGATGGTGACTGTGCAGGTGAGATTACTGACTGATGTTGAGCAAGGGTCAGGTTGAGCAGGCCAAGCTGACGTGAAACAAAGTTACTACCCAAATCCATCTAGAAGCTGCCCTGAACTTCCAAATTGAAGCCAACAGAAATTAAAGTTAAACAAACCCCAACTGATCTGAAACGTTTCTATCTTGCAGTCATGCCAAGCAAAGCTGATCCGAGCATTTATGCCGGTAACGTCTCCTGTGACTTCGAGACCCCGCTCTGTTCCTGGAACGACGACCCATCAGGCGATTTTCTCTGGACGCGAAAAAGAGGCAGCACACCATCTTCTGGCACGGGGCCCAGTGGGGATCACACTACAGGAAACGGTACGGACGCTCCTCTTACAAAATGCCTAACCTGAGTTCAGTGGGTAACACTGAACTCATGTTAACCCAAAAAGAGCTATTCTCTCAGGTATCGCCATCATACATTTTTTCCCCTATGCCAAGCTCTCAGGGGTTTTTCCCACAACATCTTGTGGTTCTTTTGACACAACTAAGATGGCCGTGCCATGACTGGATGGAACTTTGCAGTCCATCATTTTGGCTTGGTTTGGTCTGGTTTGTTTTGGTTTGGTTTGTTTTGTTTTGTTTTGGTTTGGTTTACACTGGATTTAGAGCATAATCATAATTATTACAAACAGAAATGTTACATGTTCGCAATATATCCATTACAATGGACGTTCACAGTGAAATTCTTTTCTACAAAGGGGTTTGACATTTGTGCATCATGCATCTTTGAGGCAACATACTTACTCCAAATCTAAAGTAGGGTGCCTAATCAAAAGAGCGAACCGGATAAAGTCTCTGCTCTGTGAATACTTTTACATTCGGGGAAAAATTATATTCTAGGGTTTTCTATTTCAGATCAAATGTTTCAGAATTCAATTCAGCCTCTGAGACATTCTCAGATTCAGTGCCCTGAACTGACAAGTTGTACTATGCATGTATGTGTGTCGTGTCAACTCTTGTGTGCTCTCCTAATGACAATTTTCCAGAAAATCGTCTTTAGAGACTTTTGTTGGAGATGGCCATCTTTTGAGTGTTTTCTTCAATATGACAGCTTGCCAGAATGAACAATTTCACAGGCAGTTATTAAACCATCTTTAAACCAAGTATGCTTCTAAACAATAATTTTGTCAGTTAATCTAAGGATAACTGCAAAATGATGGACTGTACATGTACCTCTAAAATCGGGGGAGTCAGGTTGGTGTAGCTTTTTCCTTGCCTTCCACCTCTGGAGCCCAGGTTCGAATCCCACCCAGGTCAGCATGTGGATTGGATTTTCAGTCCCTGCCTGATTCTGTAGGCGTTCCCTGGAATATGTATCTGGGGTTTTCCTCCAACCTCTAAAACTAAACATTTCTTCATTGTCTTATTAACTATCCCTTCATCCTGTAATTGGCGCTAGATGCGCTGTTGGATGAACAGATATAATTAAATTGATTCATTTTACGTAATTTTTATCATGTGACTTGCTGCGCATTTCAGTGAATAAATCAGTGGTACTTGATCAGTGAACTACCAATCAGATGACAGGGATTTATTATGACTTGATAAAAGAGCTCTTCTGATTGGTTACCTGAGCCAGAACTGGTAAAAATGTATGTTGTTGATATTCGCCGTATGAACAGAATGTTTGCACATAAAGATGTCTCAGGCATATAAGGAAACAGCTTTACTTTTATAGATTCATGTTTGATTTCACAGCAAAAAAAGTCACTGCAAAACATCAGACTACTTTTTCCACTCCCTTTTTTATAAAAGCAAAATTCAGAAATGTGGAGTGCTAAAGGCACTGTGTAAAGACAGTTTATCTTAGAAAGTGATTTTTATCTAAACATTTACATTTAAGTACCCTGTATGAAAGTGAAAGACCCACAATGTTATCCACCATTTAGGCTATTACGTCTACATCGAGTCTTCCGGCCGCAGCCAGGGTGACCGAGCACGGCTGATATCCGGCGAAATCACGCCGCCCAGCCCTGCCCAAGCCATCTGCCTGGAGTTTCACTACCACATGTTTGGCACAAGCGTCGGCACCCTCAACCTGTTCTCCCGGTTGGGCACCACAGACACAGCCCTGTGGAGTCGTACTGGTACACAGAGTGGGAACCGATGGCACCGGGCAGAGCTCACCATCACCATGTCAACCAAATACAAAGTGAGAGAATTGTGAGAGACCTCGTTGGTACATTTTTCTTCCAATTTTGTGGGACAGATTTTTATAAATTTTTCTGAGTGTGGATATAATCCTTTCAAACCTAGCAACAGTGGCCGAGTACAACACTGGACGTTTCTGCAGTATTATAGTTACTTTTTAACCTTAGCTTGGTAAATGTATCATCAAACGCCCAGCATTGTTCAGTTCAGTTCAGCCGGTTCAATATCTGGCAATGAACATGGTACTCGAAAGGTACTCCATTACAATGCTGATGCCAATTTGAAGTACTTTCCACTCAGTTGATAAGCTTTGTAAGATGCATGCTTTGAAGCTTCATTTATGGAGAAACAAATTCAAGAATAATATTTTTCTTCTTAAGAAAAAACAGTGCCTACTTGCAGAAGACGTTTAATGCTTCATGATGCTATTCACAGAAGAGGGTGAATGTAAACTTTGAGGCAATTGTTTTTGCAGCTTGTTCTGGAAGGTATCCGTGGCAACACCTACTCCAGTGACATTGCCGTGGATGACATACTGTACACGGAGGCGGATTGCCCGCCAAGACGTAAGAATTGAGCTTTTTGTTGCATATGCTTAGTAATTATGTACATTAAGGTCACAGGAGTAGGTCCTCAGTCTGTGCACTGTTTAACATTGTAGGTAGAAATAGATCCTCAATCAGTGTGTTGTCCCTAGTTTGACATGATGGACAAACATGGTTGACAAAAATAGGCCTCTGTAGGAGCTGAGTTGCAGAAGTTAGTGATGCATGGGATGTCCCGAGAAATGGGTCCTCAGACAGTGCGCTGACCTCAGTTGGACATTGCAGACAAATCTGAAAGGAACAAGTCTCAGCACTAACGACATCTTCCTTTGTTTACATGTACAAGTTCCTATGGACCCTATACGAGGAGTCATATTGGCAAGGTAGTTCTTTCCTCACCTTCCACCTCTGTGGTCCCGGGTTCGATTTCCAGCCCGGTTCACATGTGGATCAGGTTTTCAGTCCCTACCTGACTCCGTGGGTTTTACCCAGAATATTCCTCTGGGGTTTCCTCCCACCTCTAAAACTGTAACTGAATACTGTCTCCCCTTTACTGATGTTGGTGAATGTGGGTCGTTTGGCGGCTGCCCAAGGTGCCCTTGGACGCCATCGGCTCAACCATGTCTAAATGTATTCATTGTTCCACGCTTAATGTCTCCATTATACAGCGCATTTGAACATATCTATGTGAAGCTTGCTCTTTATAAATGAATAAATTATTATTATAATTATTAAGAAAGTGCACTTATAAACAAACAACAAAATGACAAAGTGATCTTTGGTACCTCAACAATGCCAAGCACTGCTGCCAAGTTCATGCTCACCACTCAGTCACAGATGGCCTCTTATTTCCTATGTGTCAAAGCTAGCTGGAGGCGAGCTGATGCAAGAGTGGCGGTTTAACCCATCAGCCCGGACCGCCAGATTGCATCCACATGTCCTCGGTTGCGAACAGCATAGCCAAAATATTCTTTAATGTAATGTAATTTTGTCGTCTTTTTTTTCCCATAGGGGTTTGCACCGTGGAATTGGACAGTTGCGGACTGATACAGGACAAAAATGACGATTTTGATTGGTCGAGAGTCCAGGCTTCTGCGCTGGCAACATCCTCCGGCCCACATGAGGACAAGTCGACAGGAACAGCAAACGGTACATGCCGTAAAAATCTCCAAACACTGTTGTTTAAATCGCATTCCCCTGCATTACCATTGCTTTATGTGGTTAATTATAAACTAGTACTTCAGCCTTTGGATGTGAAAGTTGAACCCAGTGGCGTGAGTTGCTTGAGAATTTTCTTGAGTAGAATCATGACTGATAGAAGTAAAACTGGAACAGCCTTTGAATTATCAGTGCAAAACTGGGGCATTCAAGTGATCTGAAATAAAAACCAGTATTGTGAAACTAGATTGGAAAGTTGTTGAAACCTGTGTCCTTGTAGCCTAATTTTCAATTTTAAACCCAACAAGACAAATATTTTAATACGCTGCGTTGGGAGAAACAACGCCCTGGCTCTCCACCTTGAGCAGAAGCAACCCCTCATTACCAGTTGCAAATAGCGGTGTTGGTGGGGAGTGTTGATTTGTGAGGTAGTGATGATGCGACTGTAAACATGCACATTTCATAATTATTTGTAAGCCACTTGAAGTGCAGTTCCCAACAAAGGAGCCTCCGTTGCTATGAAAATGGCATCCTCTCTTGGTCCAGATAAAATTAGCCATTTGCATAAAATAATATAGCAATAAAGACGTCTGTCTTTTAAATAAAAATTTTACTTCTTGTTTTTAAAAATTGGGAAACACTTCTGGAATGTGGAATATTGGGTGGTATCCCAGCACCATCTTTCGTCAGCTGATCTTTTGTTGACTAAGTTCCTGCATGGGATACACGGAAGCCTAGGTGACACATCTGGATAGGCCTGGATCTTGTACAGACGGCTGACAAATTTAATAAGGATGTCTGTAAGTACTCAATAGTTTTTTGGGTTTTTTGTCCAGGTTATGTTATGTATCTCGACCCCACCCAGGGAAGCGTCAACCAACGCGCCGTCATGTACACCTCCCAGTTTGACCCCAACTCCTTTGGCGAGTGTGCCACCTTCTGGTACCACATGCACGGCCAGAACGCCGGCACCCTGACTGTCACGGAGGATGCCACCAGCACCGTCGTGTTCACCAAGACCGGGAACCAGGGAAACATGTGGCGGTTCGGCGCGGCCTCCATACCGCCCACGACGAAAAAGTACCGAGTGAGTCCTAGCTGTCAAAATATAGCGCAAAGCACTTTGGCTCTGCTTCAAAGGTTCCTTAGTTACATGTTTCAGTTTGTTTCTTGCAAAAGTATTGTAGTCACTACTCTTATCTTAACATGAAAATCACAAAGTTGTTTGTGCATATTTCATTTCAAAGTAGTAGAAGTTGTTCCCTGGAAAGAATCCTTTAACTTGGGTATTCAAATGATACCTTTGTTTTATTGAACTGCTGTGGAGAATTTTTTTTTCAATCCTTTGCTACCCCGTGAGGTGACATCAATTTCTAGGGGTGTTTAAAACACTTTGTCAAACATCTCAGCAATTAACAATATTTATTTGTTTTTCATTTGTTATGACTTCTTGTTCACTCTGTAGATTCTGATTGAAGGCAAGCACGGTGCTGGAAGTGTTGATCACATCGCTCTGGATAACTTTGACATCCGCGTTGGCCCTTGCGACCCAGTAGGTCAGTTTCTCCTAAACCCCCCACACTTTGCTACAAGTGTAACTCTTTCTTTCTCAAATGATGTGTTAGAGCACGACAGCTTCATTGTTGTGATTGTCGTTATTACATTTTAAGGGATTGGGACAATGATTTCATTTTCAATCTTGCTCCCCACCTTTAATCTCCTTAACTTCAATTTTAAACCAAAGGGCAAGTTCTAGTGTTGTGGTTAAGACCATCCGTGAGACCAGACGCAATACCAAATGCAAGACCAGAAACAAGACTAGTTGCAAGACTAGTAGCAAGACCAGTCACAAGACGAGTTGCAAGACCAGTCACAAGACTAGTCACAAGACGAGTTGCAAGACTCGTAAGACTAGTCGCAAGACTCGCCGTAAGACTAGTTGCAAGACCAGTCGCAAGACTCGCCGTAAGACTAGTTGCAAGACCAGTCGCAAGACTCATCGTAAGACTAGTTGCAAGACTTGTCGTAAGACTAGTTGCAAGACCAGTCACAAGACGAGTTGCAAGACCAGTCACAAGACCAGTCACAGATAGCAGGGTGAAAAGTGACTATTAAAAGGAATGCTTTTGTTGTCATTCATCTGAATATTTTCTAACTTGAATTCAGACTGGAGATCTTGTGT